CAAGCCAATCAAGAGTGAGTATGCAAATAAACCCAACCAAGATGGCTACAGCTACAGAGAGCAGGAGGGAGGCTCGGGTTTCCCCGGCAATGGAGGAAGCCAAGCTTTCTGCCTACCCTATCCTGCCTAAGCCTCCACTCAAGGCTACAAAGTTTCAATTATGGAAGGTAAACAAATTCAAATAGAAATGGCGGCAGCCACAGAGCTAGCAGGAGGCTTGGCTCTGCTCCAGGCTATAAAGTTTCCAATTGTAGAAGGTATTAAATAAATCCAGATACCAGGGCTTCCACTTGGGTTGCCGGGGGTCGTGATGGGTCTGCAGACTAATACAGGCCCTTCACCCAGGCCGCCCTATGCCCCGGGGGAACCTCCACCCTGATCCTGACACTTTTCAGGGCAAACCAGCTGGCCCCCACCCATGCACAATGCCTCTATCCTATCTAATAAAAGAGTAATATGCAGATTGACCATCACTGCAACACACAAGCTTGCTGCCCCCATGTGGTCAAAGATCCTGCTCCCATGTGGACACAAGATGGCCACTAGAGGATGGCCATAAGGGGAGGGCAGTTGGGAGGCACCAGGCCTGCAAGGGAGGGCAGTTGGGAGTGATCAACCCTGTAGGGGAGAGCAGTTAGGCGTGACCAGGCTGGCAGAGGAGGGAATTTGGTGGCAAACAGGCTGGCAGGGGAACAGTTAGACATCAATCAGGCTGGCTTAGGAGTGGCTAGGAGGTGATCAGGCTGGCAGGCAGAAGTGGTTAGGGGGAATAAGGAAGGCAGGCAGGCGAGCAGTTGGGAGCCAGCAGTCCTGGAATGTGAGAGGGATGTCCGACTGAATGGGACTAAATGGGCAATCGGACATCCCTTGAGGGGTCCCAGATTGGAGAGGGTGCAGGCTGAGCTGAGGGACACCACCATCCTCTATCTTCCCCCCCCCCCCCCCGCACGAATTTTGTGCACTGGGCCTCTAGTAATAATAATAAATAAAAGTAATTTTTAAAAGTAAAATAAATGGAAAAAAGTTTGGTTTCTTAAGTAAAAGATTAAAAGAAAAGTGTAATGCCAGTAGCCCATTTGGGTCAGTGGATAGAGCATTGGCCTGCAGACTAAAGGGTCCCATGTTTGATTCTTTTCAAGGACACATTCTTGGGTTATGGGCTAAATCTCCAGAAGAGTGAATGCAGGAGGAAACCAATCAGTGATTCTCTCTCATCATTGATGTTTCTATCTCTATCTTCAGAGACTATATCTCTATCGTCTCTGAAATCAATAAAAATCTATTTTTTAAAAAGTGAAGTTGGCCGAAACCGGTTTGGCTCAGTGGATAGAGCGTCAGCCTGCGGACTGAAGGGTCCCAGGTTCGATTCTGGTCAAGGGCATGAACCTTGGTTGCAGGCACATCCCCAGTAAGGGGAGTGCAAGGGGCAGCTGATCGATGATTCTCTCTCATCAATGTTTCTCCCTCTCTATTCCTCTCTCTTCCTCTCTGTAAAAATTCGATAAAATATATTAAAAAAAAAAAAAGTGAAGTTGTGTCAAAATTGGTTTGGCTCAGTGGATAGAGCATCGGCTTGCAGACTGAAAGGTCCCATGGACCTTGGTTGTGGGCACATCCCCAGTGGGGGGTGTTGCAAGAGGCAGCTGATCGATGATTCTCTCTCATCGATGTTTCTAGCTCTCTATCCTTCTCTCTTCCTCTCTGTAAAAAATCAGTAATATATATATACACATATATATATATTTTTTTAAGTGAAGTGAATTTTGTTCAGCTGAGTTTTAATGACCCACGTGGGCTGGCTTAAGACCCTTCTCTACTGTTCTGTCTATCACATCTCAGTTTCCTGTTAGGTAATCAGCACTGTGTTTAGTTCCCAGTGATCCTCTGCTTCTCTGTGTCAGATGCCACAGCCTTGGTTTTAGACAGGCAGGATCAATCTGCCAGCTTTGTTTTTTTTGTCTTCTTTCAATATTTATACAAGGATCTATTTCTGACATGGCCTCTAGGTGGCGATATTTCTGTATTCGTTTCTGGAACCAAATTGCCCCTCACCCCAATCCCCATGGGCTCACAGGGTTTATTTCGAATCTTTGTGCCCCTGTCGAGCTCAAGGTTGAGTGTGGCTGCATTTCTAGGAGGGCCCTGGTCTTTAGGAGAAAAATGTCTGTTCAGGGTTATGGGGATCAGGCTTCCTGATCGCCACCCCTATTTTGCTCCCCATCTGCTATAAAACCACCTTCCCCTATTCTGCAGCCTAGGTGAGTGAGTGTAATTGAAAAATCCTATGCATTGGGTTTAGCAAGGAAAATATAAAGACAGAGCAACCGAGCTGCTGTACATCTTCTCACCTCCGGCCCTGTGTGGCCACTGCAGAACATCAGGCTGCCTTTCAGGGCACAGCCTCCCACGGCTATGAGCTTAGAACTAGAGTCCCCCACTGCCAGCAGCACTATGGAGTGCTACACGTGTCCTCAAGGAACTCGGAGTTGCTGCATTGCCATTTTCCACTGATACTCTAGTCCTGACTGCACGCATTTCTCCCTCCAGCCCAGATCCCCAATGCTCCAGGCAAACTCTGACCTTTCCGTCCATGGATTGTCTTGTCAGCTGTGTTTCATTCGCCAATTCCGGGTGTATGTTTTTCAGTTCAGCTGTTTCTTCTGCTCATGAAAAGGCTCTGCCTTTTTGGCTGCCATTTTGGTTTCCCCCCCAGCCTTCCCCCTACAGCTGGGAAGGCTGGAGTCAGTGTTCGTGGGTTTGCAGCTGAAGCAGCTGGTCTCTGGCTGGTGTGGCTGTAGGGTCCCAGGTGGTGTCCGAGGTCTCCCCAGGTGGAGATGAGGCTGGGTTCCCTGGGAGAGATTTCAGCTGTAGGACAGGCTGCCCAGCTAGGGGATCCTGTCCGCCAGTCCCCAACAGTCCTGCGGAATAACTATCCCTCATTCACACATACACACGCCCCACGCATCCACGCTCTCTTCCTCACTACTATCCTATCACTGCCATCTTGGGTCTCAATTTTTGTATTATGCATTTTTCCATACAAACAACTCTAAACCTACATTTGCTCACTCCGTATATTACATTTGGGTCTTTTTATGTATTTCACTTCTGTGTTCACTATGTTTATATTTTCTTCTTACCTTCTTGAGTATATGGAGCATATTTATAATATTTGGGTTGTTGATGTCTTAGCTAATTCCATCACCTATGCCATTTCCGGACCTGTTTCCATTGATTAATTTTCTCCTAGGTATAAATGACAAGGTTGTTCTACTATGGCTGGTGGAAACATGAATTATTACCATCCCTGTATGTGTAAAAGGTTTTTTTGTTTGTTTTGCCTACTTGTTTTCAACGTTCTTTTCCTGGTACTCATGCATGGCATTGCTCATTATTTAGCCAGAGACTTGGTGCTATCCCTCTGGGGATGCTCAGAACTCAAGCTTCCTTTCTCTTTTCTCTCTGTGTAGCTCCCTGCTCTGTGGTATTCTGCCATGGAAAGTATAGCTCCCATGGCCTCCCTGAACCTTCTGTCTGTATTCTCCTCAAGGCCATGTGACCACTAAGCTCTATTCTGGTTACTTCTGTTTGCACTACAGTCTGGAAACTACCTATATGCAATATGTGGATACAGATTTAGGGTTCTTCTAGTTTCACATCTTTTAGGGTTTATAGTACTGTGCTGCCTCCTACCCAGTGTCTGAAACCTTTAACATATTTTATCTTGTTTTCTACTTTTTAAGATAGAGTAAATTCAGTCTCAGATATATTTTCATAATCTAAAGCAGAAGTCTTCTCAGAATAGTTTAATTTGTATTTTTTAAAAATAAGTGAAGGTAAACATCCTGTCACATATCATTGGGCAGTTTGTCTAGCTGTTTTTGAAGAGCTTTCTACTCTTTATATCCAACCCATTTTTCCATGATATTGTTGGTCTTTTCATTCTCTCTTTGTGGAAGGACTTTACATGTTAAGGATATTAATCCCTTCTCTTTAATATGAAATGCAAAATTTCAACTCAATTTATTATGTGTCTTTTTAACATACTTTGCTGTTGATATCTTTTCTGAGACTTTTATTATGATTGTGATGAATTATTGTATCTCTGATTTCTTAGTACTGGAGAATTGAGTTGGCATTAGGCAAGGAAGAGGATTCAAAAGTTTATCTCACTGTGATTATTTGAAAAATGGTTGAGCTAAGAAGTTCTGATTTATTCAGGGTCTATATTAAGTTTTTGTGTACTATAATGATATGATATATGAATGTTTTTCTGGTAGCTACATGACTCCCTCCCTAACTCCCTCAGAACTCTGCTCAATTAACTTTATCAGAAAGGTCTTCTGTAATCACCCTATTTGAAATGTTAACACTCTTTCATATGTCTATCCTCTGTTTCTTTATTTTCTTCTTCAGCAGTTATCACAATTTGACATGACACATATTTTGCTAATTATATGTTATCATTTGTGTTGTTCCCAATATGCTGATACCGTGAAGGCAAGGATTTTGGACTTCTAATACTGCTTGGCACATAGTAGGCACTCAATTTGTATTGGTTAAATAATAAAATTTCCCTTTATATAGGTTGTTCTGGGATCAATTGAAAGATGAACTGAAGAGAAAGAGAAACTTCAGAAAGAAGGAACAATTAAGTCCAACAATTAGGTCCCTTTACATTGTTCTTATATGTAAGGTGGAAGGTTAGCTGGAGTGAGAGCAATGAGGATAAAAGAGAAAAGAATATTTGGACTCACATTAAACAGAAGAAATGAGTATTTGTAATTGTTAAATATAAAGGAAAATATTTGTATTTGGGTTATATTTTTAATATAGGTATTAATAAAGCAAAAGTATAGATGATTGAAAGTGAGTCTGAATAGATATTGTGACTTTTTTGTCCTTACAAAATGTTACTTTAAAAATATAAACATCACAGTGCCTAGTGGGAGTCATGCTAATTTTTCTGATTTATTATTATTATTATTTTTTTCTTCTAGAGCTTTGCTTCCTGTTTTACATCACAAATCTAAAAAAGGACCTCCTCGTCAAGCCAAATATGCTATTCATTGTATCCATGCAATATTTTCTAGTAAAGAGACCCAGTTTGCACAGATATTTGAGGTAAAGAGAAAAAGAATTTTTGTTGCATACATTATAGTTAATAAATAGATACTAATGATTTTGCAGAATTTTGAATGTTCGCATTTGGAATTACATCATTTTATAGTATAAGTAAGTCTTCAACTTTATTGATAGGTTCTGCTAAGTGAAGTGAAATGGTATATAACAAAAACAGTTTTACTTTTGGCGATTTGATATAAACAAAAGTGAAGTTCCTATGGCATCTCAAGAAAAATGACATTATTCGAGGACCTGCTGTATTTTTAGAATTGCATCAGTATAATAGCTATTAATGAATTCTTTGTGCCAACTAAAATTTAGATATCAAACAATTGTATAATATTTTTGACACATATTTATTAATTATATATTATATTTATACCTTATACATTGTATTTATACCAATACATGTAGTATTAGGAAACCTTTATTAATAATATAATCCTATCACATACAAGGTTGGCTAGCTTTCTGAAAAAAAAGTTTCATAGAAATATGTGATCTTTATAAGGTTACTATTAGTCTATGCTCTGGCCATTAATTTTGCTTTTTCAGAAATGATTTTATCATTTTATTGTGGAAAATTTTCACACTACTATAATAAACTAATTGAAACTAATTTGCACTATCAGATTTTTGTCTATAATATAAACAGCAAGCTGGAACTTATGTGCAAGGAGTAAAGTATTGAGGGAAGTCATCAAGAATAGCAAAAAGTACATTCATGTAAATATACTATTTTTAAAAATCCTCACCCAAGGATATTTTTTCCATTGATTTTTAGAGAGAGTGGGAGGGAGAAGGGGGAAAGCAAGACATACATCATATACCACAACTGGAACTTGTAACCTAGATATTTGCTCTTTTTTTTTTTAAAATATATTTTATTGATTTTTTATGGAGAGGAAGGGAGAGAGTTAGAGAGCCAGAAACATCGATGAGAGAGAAACATCGACCAGCCGCCTCCTGCACATCCCCCACCGGGGATGCGCCCACAGCCAATGTACATGCCCTTGACCGGAATCGAACCCGGGACCTTTCAGTCCGCAGGCCGACGCTATACCACTGAGCCAAACCAGTTTCGGCCTTATTTGCTCTTGACTGGAAATTGAACCTGTGACCTTTTGGGCCTAGGGCCGACACTCTAACCACTGAGCAAAGGGGGCCACAGCTAAATATACATTTGATTAGATGAAGCTTTATATTGCCCTCATATGTTGGAAAAGAACAGTTCTGTTGTTTTTTCAAACTTAGATTTCATGGTGTTCAGTATGGAAGGATAGAGCATCATTTCTTCATTAAAATCTGTTATGGCCATAGCCAGTTTGGCTCAGTGGATAGAGCGTTGGCCTGAGGATCAAAGGTTCCCAGGTTCAATTCCAGTCAAGGGCACGTACCTTGTTTGCAGGCTCCTCCCACTCCCAGGCCCTGGTAAGAGCATTTGCAGGAGGCAACCATTGTGTTTCTCACATTATTTTTTCTCTCTTTCATTCGCCTCAAAAATCAATGGAAAAAAATATCCTCAGATTATGATTAACAACAAAAATCTTATGAAAATTTCTAACAGATTATGATTAACATCAACAACAAAAATCTGTTATAAAAAGTATATTCACTTTTTTCACATTCAAAAGATACAAAACAAATATCCAAATAGCAAAAAGGTTTGTGCTGGATCCCACTCCTGTATCTCCAGCCACCTAGTTCCCTTTCTCAGAGGCAACTACTGTTATCCATTTCTAATGTACTTTTTTGGAGAGCTTTTATTCATATACAAATAATATAAATACAGACATACATATTTTGTCACCTACTCTTATACCAGTGATGGCATACTATACTCACTCTAATGAATATTCAATTTTTAAAATTTAGCAATACACTTTACATATCATTCTGTATATTTATATGAGGAGCCTCATTCTTTTTTACTGAAAAATGAATATTGGTTGGGTTTCCTGTCAGAATAGTAAAATAATTTTATTAGTTATGAAATTCAATATTTAATGCTATGAAAATCCACAAGAAATGCATGTAACTATACATAATAAAAGCTTTTTCTTGCTCCTGAGAAAGACCAGTAGGGTGTTTGGATTGTATTCTGACCAGTGGCTTAGGCACACTAACTCTTTTTGATTAATGGCTTCCCTTTAAGTCCCACTGAATCCTTGCTATTCAGCCAGCCAATGAGTAAGGAGAGAGAATGTGGAGAAGACACATTGATCATACCTGCCTCAGTGTAGGCTTGACATATCTCACTTTTACTCCCATTCTGTTAACCAGACTTATTCACATATCCTAATCTGCCAAGGAGGCTGCACCTGTAGTCAGAAAATAGAAATGAAGAGGATATTGGTGAACCCAGCTGTCTCTTAACATATTCATAGATGTGGTCATAAAATATATGATTCTTTGTGCTGAAATGTTTCTTTACCTACCTCTAAATATGACATGAGCAAAACCAAAGATATTTAAACATGATGCTTTCTAGACATAAGTAACATATGGAAGTTTAAATATAAGCTTGAGCTTATGTATATGTATTGAAATTTTGTAATATTTTTAATTTGAAGATGAAATGTGTGAGCAGTTTATTTTCATACTAGAGGCCTGGTGCATGAATTTCAGCCTGATTTGATAGGCCAGACCTATTGGATCGGGCTGAAACCAGTTCACTGACATCTCCTGAGGGGTCCCGGTTTGCTGGAGGGCACAGGCCAGGCCAAGGGACCCCACTGGTGCACGATTGGGGCTGGAAAGGGATGTGGGAGGTTGGCCAGTCTGAGAGGGACTGCAGGAGGGCTCTAGGGCATGTCTAGCCAGTCTCACTTAATGCCAATCTGACAGATCCCAGCAGCAAGCTAACCTACTGGTTGGAGCATCTGCCCCCTGGTGGTCAGTGCACATCATAGCGAGTGGTTGAACAGCCTACCTGACACTTAGCATATTAGGCTTTTACTATATAGGATTTACAGAGTTGGATATATTTTCCTTTCCTCATTTTCTCAGCCTCTGCATAAGAGCCTAGATCCAAGCAATCTGGAACATCTTATAACCCCATTGGTTACTATTGGTCATATTGCTCTCCTTGCACCTGATCAATTTGCTGCTCCTTTGAAGTCTTTGGTAGCTACTTTCATTGTGAAAGATCTTCTCATGAATGATCGGGTAAGTCATTTATATCTTTTAGACTCGTGTGCTTCATAATGTTATCTTCTTAAATTTTACATAGCAAAGAGAGAAGTGAAATGACATAACATTTCCATTTACTGCCTTATTTTAGGTTTTCTTATCTTATACTATCTCTCCATTATAAGTAAAACAACATTGAAACATCTCTTTAGTTGAGCCAAGTCATGTAACCTGAAATACTTTCCTTGATAAATACAAAATATTACCTGATTCTATTTTCAACTTTACAGGGGATTTTTTATGACATCTCTTTTTTAAAATGTGAAGAGTGACAAACTTGTTCACAGTATGGTTGTCATGACAGTAGTTGTTCCTTTCCCTATATACAATAGTGAATTAAGAGAGATCTGAGAAGAAATATTAGGAAAGAAATGATTTTATCTCTCTTCCTTTTGTGAGTACAGTTGTCTCCCCTCATCTGCAATTGCATTTTTTTTTTTGCCATTTCAGTTACCCACACTCATTTGCATTAAATGGAAAATTCTAGAAATAAACAATTCATAAGTTTTAAATCGTGCATCATTCTGAGTAGCCTGATGAAATAAATATCTTGCTGTCTTCTGACCTGCCCCGAATGTGAATCATTCTTTTGTCCAGCATCTCCACATGGTACATACAGAACAATAAGAGATTTTGGGAGATTGAGAAAGTAACCAAATTCATATAACTTCTGTCACAGTATATTGTTGCAGTTGTTTTTTTTTTTTATTAGTTGTTGATATCTTTCAGTGCCTGATGTATAAATTAAACTTTATCATGGGTATTATGTTCAGGAAAAAACCCCAGAAATTTAGGGTGGGACAAAAGTATGTTTACAGTTTACAGTTTTGAGTATTTGAAACACAGTTTATATTATCTATTAATTAATAATTATTAAATTATAAGAGGCCCGGTGCATAAAAATTTATCCACTGGAGGGGGTTCACTCAGCCCAGCCTGCCCCTTCTCACAGTCCAGGAGCCCTCAGGGGTGAGAGGCAACCCAGCGATCAGGAGAAGGCGACGTCCCATCACACCTCTGCTGCTGCCACTGCCAGCAGCACAAGCCTCGGCCGGCCCTGATTACCTGCACTTTGGGCTGACCCTGGGTGGCTGGGGACTGAGAGGACTGGGGGACTCGGGAGGCAGGCGCACAGAATGGGTGTGACAGTCAATTAGCATATTCTCTCCTCATTGGCTGTGGAGTGCCATCATCTATGAGGGCAGGGCAGTCAGTTAGCATATTCCCTCCTTATGGGCTGTCGGCACTGCCATCTTTGTGATGGCATGAGGATCAATTAGCTTATTCCTTTTTTATTAGATAGTATTTTCCATGCAAACAACTATAGACCTACTGTTGCCCCAGTCTCTATGCTAGCCACTATTCACATATAGCCATTTAAATTTTAAATAAACTAAATATAATTATAAATATATTTACATATCTCAAGCCCTCAATAGCCACATACAAGTAGTATTAGCCCAGAACATCTCCACCATCCCAGAGAATTCTATTGGGACAGTTGCTCTAGAAACTTTATTGGTTTAATTTTGGTTTAATTTTTACATTTAAATCTAGTTTATTTGGAATTAATTTTTGTTATGGAATGAGATAGATGTCCAGATTCATTTTTATTTCCACCATTTATTCCCTGCTGGTTTTTTTTTTTATAAAAGACATGAAATTCACATAACATAAATTAGCTATTTTAAAGTATACAATTCAAGTAGCATTTAATAAATTAACTATGTTGTACAATCACCATGTTTATCTAGTTCCAGATAATTTTCATTAAGTAGTCAATTCCTAAATATTTCCTCCTGCCTCTGGCAACCACCAATCTTCTTTTTGTCCAAATGGATTTACCTGTTCTGAATATTTCCTATAAAGAAAGTCATACAAAATGTGACCTTGTGTCTAATTTTTAATGTTTTTGAGGTTCATCTTCATTGTAGTATGTATTAGTGCTTCATTTCATTTTATGGATGAATATTCTTTTGTGTGTGTTTACCACAATTTGTTTATTCCTTAGACATTTAGATTGTTTCCACCTTTTGAATTTACAATTCACTATTGTGAATAGTGCTGCTATGAATTTTATGTCTGAGTATTTGTTTGCATATCCAATTTTAGTACTTTGGAGTACATACCTAGAAGTAAATTTGATGGATTATTTGGTAATTTTATGTTTAAATTTTGAGGAATTACCAAACTGTTTTCACAATGGCTACACCATTTTTTACCTTCCCACCAGCAGTGTACGAAAGTTTTAATTTTTTAACATCCATGCCAACTTGTTATTATCTTTTGATTATAGCATCCTGCTGAATATCAAGTGGTTTTGATTTGCATTTTCTAATGACTAATGAAATTGGCATCTAATGTGCTTTGTAGCTATTTCTGTATCTTTTTAGAAGAATGACTATTCAAATCCTTTGACCTTTTATTGCTTTGTTTATTCCTTTGTTGAGTTGTAATAGGTCTTTATATTTATATAAGATACAAATCTCTTTATCAGAAATATGGTACATGATTATATATATATTTTTTAATATATTTTATTGATTTTTTTTGCTCCCCTCCCTCCCATACATACCCTCCCTCCCCAGAGTTTTGTGTCCATTGGTTGTACTTATATGCATGTATACAAGTCCTTCGGTTGATCTATTATCTCCCCCAATTCTCCCTCCCCTCCCCGCTGTAATTTGACAGTCTGCTTGTTGCTTTACTGTCTCTATATCTTTTGGTTCATCAGTTTATAATGTTCTTTATTATCCATAAATCATTATGTTTTAGATGTACAACATAATGATTCAATATTGTGTGCATTGTGAAACAATCAGCGCAGTAATTATTTTTCTGTGGTGAGAACTTAGGATATCTATTCTGTTAGTAGCTTTCAAATATATAATAAAATACATGTAATATAAATAAAATATAAAATATACAAATATAAATATAAAATATATAAATATAAAAATGTATAATGCAAATGTATAATATTCAGTAATTTATTTATATTATAACTGGAAGGTTGTACCTTTTGATCTGATTCATCCATACCTCATCCCCTGCTGACTACCAATCTGTCCTCTGTATCTAAGTTGGGTTTTTGTTGTTGTTATTCTTATTTGGGGTTTGTTCTATTTCTGTTTTTTTTAGATTTCACATGTAAGAGAGATCATGTTAAAAATTAACAGAGGTAGACTATGGCTTACATCCTGTTTAATAAAGAGAGAATATGCAAATTGACCATCACAAAGATGGTGGTGCCGGTACTCTCAGCCCCACCTGAGTCCCCTCATCCCAAAGGGTGGCAGCCGCACCCTGTGCCTACTGCTGGAATCCCCCAGTCCTTTCAGGCCTCTGTGTGCCTGCGCCCCCCCCCCCCCCCCCCCCCCCCCCCCGAGCAGGCACACAGAGTCCCCCAGTTCTTTCACAGAAAATGGTTGCCTCAAAAGTTGCTTAAGCTTCTTAGGACAGAAAGCATTCAAAAATCTTTGAAAAGAGAATTCCAATATTTATAAAGTTTGGACTAGACAATTCAAGGTTATTAAAAGAATTACTCAAAGATATACACCACTAAAATATTTAATTCACAAGAAAATTCAGTCTCCATAAATTATTACAAATGAAAAAAACAAACAGAAAAGTTATCCTGATAATACCAATAGGCTGGCAGATGGGTTCAAAAATCTACACTAATAGCCAAAACCAGTTTGGCTCAGTGGATAGAGCGTCAGCCTATCCACTGACGCTGGATAGGCTGGGTTCAATTCCGGTCAAGGGCATGTACCTTGGTTGTGGGCACATCCCCAGTAGGGGGTGTGCAAGAGGCAGCTGATTGATGACTCTCTCTCATCGATGTTTCTAACTATCTCCCTTCCTCTCTGTAAAAAATCCATAAAATATATATTTTTAAAAAATCTACACTAATAAAAGAGAAAGATGCCAATTGACTGTACCTTTGCTATGCCAATCAGCTAATCAGGAGTGAGTATGCAAATTAACCTGACCAAGATGGCAGCAGCCACACCCCAAGCCACTCTAGGTCTGTGGGAGTCAAAGAAACTGGGTGCCAGAGCATGAGGCTGGCTTTGGCCCGGGAGACGAAGAAGCTACCTGCCCCACAATCCCAGGCAGCAGCCAGCTGAAGAAGCCTCACATTCACTTGACCCACAACCTGGGGGGGGGGGGTAGAGAAATTGGGCTCCAGTGCCTGAGGCTGGCTGCAATCCAGGAGACAAAAGAAGCTGCCTGCCCTGTGATCCCATGCCATAGCCAGCTGCAGAAGCCTCACATCCGCCTGCCCCACATCATGGGGGAGACAGAGAAACCAGGCCCCAGCACCTGAGGCTGGCTACAGCCTGCTAGATGGAGAAGCCACCTGCCCCATGGTCCTGGGCATCAGCACTTGCAGCTGCAGCCCAGGTGAAGCCATCTGCCCACCATCCCCTAAGGCTGCAGCTGGCCTGAGCGTCTATGGCTGACCAGAGGGAGGGAAGCCCGGATTCCAAGTGCCTATAGTCAGCTGGAAGAGGGAATCCTGGCTCCTGGGTGTGGGGCTGAGGCAGGGGAGCAGTTAGGGACGATCAGGCTGGCAGGCAGAAGCAGTTAAGAGTCAATCAGGCAGGCAGGTGAGCAGATAAAAGCTAGCAGTTCTGGATTGTGAGAGGGATGTCTGACTGCCAGTTATCCCCCAAGGGTCCCAGATTGGAGAGGATGCAAGCCAGGCTGAGGAATACCCCCCACCCCTGCACGAATTTTGTGCACTGGGCCACTAGTAATAAAAAATAGATGCAACTAAACTAATGAGAGGCAAAATCTAAAAATAGGAAGGAAAATATATCAGTCAGTATGAAAAGCATTAAACAAAATATGGATTTAAATTGGATACTGATGTAATATATTCATGTAGTATCAAAAAAAAAAAATGCACCATAATAAGATATACTATCTATGGACATTTATGCACCTAGCAGAATAATATCTAAATAAACTAAAACAGAAATGATTTTTTAAAAAGATTAAAATGTACATCATCACAGCAGAAAACTTGGGGGGAAAAGATTAAGATGAAATGAAAAAATTGCTATGTACAAATATAAGGAATATATAGAAATAAAATATTAAAAGATTAGAAAATATTTTAAACACACCTTTCTTAAATATGATTAAAAAGAGTTTAGGCCGAAACCAGTTTGGCTCCTTGGATAGAGCGTCAGGCTGTGGACTAAAAGGTCCCAGGGTCAATTCCAGTCAAGGGCATGTACATAGTTTGCGGGCACATGCCCAGTAGGGGGTGTGCAGGAGACAGCTGGTCGATGTTTCTCTCTCATCAATGTTTCTAGCTCTCTATCCGTCTCCCTTCCTTTCTGTAAAAACTCAATAAAAAATATATATATATATATTTTTTTATAAACTCAATAGACTTTATAAAAAATATATATATATATATATTTTTAAAAGAGTTTAGCAGGTAAGATGGATATAAAATTAAAACTACAAAACAATTCCCCAAATTAACCATAAATATAAAACGTAATTTTAACAACCAAAGTGCCTAACAAAGTTGTACGATAGAACTTTTAAAATTTTATTTACAGAAAAATTATAAAATTTTAGTGAAAGACATCTTGTGGATAAGCAGACAGCCAAAGCAATGAAAAATAATAATAGAACCTGGCAGGTATGCTCAGTGGTTGAGCATCGACCCATGAACCAGGAGGTTATGGTTTGATTCTTGATCAAATGATCTACATGCCTGAGTTTAGGACTTAATCCCCAATAGGTAGTGTGTCAGGAAACAGCCAATGTCGATTGGCTGTCTGAGTCTCCCTTCTATCTGAAATCAATAAAAATATTTTAAAAATTTTTAAATAATAGAAGCAATATCTGATATGAGTAGTAGCATTGCAGATGACTCAAAGGGGAGATTTTTCAATAAATTGTGTTATCCTATGGGAAGTAAAAAGAAATTGAACCCTTAAATCACAGTATACAGAGAAACCAATCAATACCAGATGAATTAAGTTTTTAGGGCATGTTAAAAAACCTTAAAAGTTTTAAAATAACATACAAGAGACTGTTTTTATGACATTGAAATAGGAAAGGATTTTTTTTTAATTATGTGAAAAATATTAACTACAAAAAGAATGGCCAATTTAGCTACATTTTAACTGATAACGTTTGTTCAAATGACACCATAAAGGGAGTAAAAGACACACCATGAATGAGATTTTATGCATTTTATGAAGGTATTGCAACACATACCTGAAAAAAAGTATTAATATATGTAAAGATTACCTCTGAAAAAAAGGCAATCCAGAATAAAAAGACAGGGTTTTGGAAAGGAGGCAACATAAAATTGGTGACTAGAGATATAAACTTAACTAGAGGCCTAGTGCACAAAATTCATGCGCGGGCAAGGTCCCTAGGCCTGGCCAGCAATCAGGGCAGATCAGGTTCCCTATCTCCCTGCTTCCCCCCTTCTCTCACCACCCATGTGGTTCCTGGCCTCCCCGCTCCTCCTTCCCTTGCTCCCTCAGTGTCCTGTCCTGCTGCCACTGCTGGTTGCTCACCATGTTCCATGCCGCCCTCTGGTGGTCAGTGCATGTCATAGTGAGCAAGCAAATTCCCAGTCCAACTCCTGAGGGGACTATTTGCATATTAGCCAGGGAAATGCAAATTTAACTGTAATGAGATACTACATCAATCAGGTGGGAGAAATTAAGAAATATGACAAGAATTGGTATTATATACTGCTAATAGGAGGAAAATAAGTTTTAACAGCCATTTTGAAAAATATTTTGACAATAAAATTAAATGCATGTACACTGTTATTTCATCAGTTTCACTCATATGAATATAGCCTAGAGAAATTCTTGCTAATAGTATCAGGATGCCTCTATAAGAATATTTATAGGAAAGAAATGGAAATATTCCAAATGTCCACGAAGAGAATAGAGTTATTTTGCATAATATAACACAGAATAACGAATAAACTACAGTTACATTTAATAACAAGGACTATTCTAAGAAACAAATGTGTAATAAAAGCAAGTCACCTAGAATGTTTCCAATAAAACGTAGCTTATGAGCCTCAAGAACCAGCAAAACTAAACAAGTATGCTGTTTAGAGAGATATATTTGGTATAGTGGTGTTTTGTTTAGTTGGGAAATAAGGAATCCAAAATTCAACACAGTGCTTACCTAAGGCAGAAAAAATACAGGGAGGTTTGGCAAGTAATAAAACCAGGTACTGACATTTCATGGGTGTTCATTGTAGTATTATAAAACAAATGATACAATCTTATATACATACACGGGTGGGCAAAAGTATGTCAAACACAATTTATTCTTGTGTTATTTATTATTGTATTACAACTGTAAACCTATTTTTGCCCAATCCTGTATATTCCTTTATGTAAATATAACATAAAATATAACAAATAAATGGATTTAAAAAGGTGAAAGTTCTGTTTTTGACAAGAACTGACTAGGTTGCCTTGAACCTATATTCCCACTGGAACAAATAAAAAGAATGGGAAACTATTTTTAAAAATCAGTTTGAAGGCAACAGAGATATACCAATATACCAAAGCAATGAGATTTGTTAGGGCAAAGTTTCTAAAGAGATGAGAAATAAAGAGATTTGAGGTTGGTGCTCTGATGGTTTTGCTTACACATGTAATAGCTTATACACATGATAGCTGATGTTGAAGATGAAAGTCTGAGAGGTGAATAAATACTTTAATCACTGTTATTAAGCTGAAAGGAAGAAAAAAATTACAACTATGAGCCCAATAAAGAGTAGAACTTTTGTTAAACACCCTAACTTTTAAAGAGGATGTTGTTTGCAGAGCTTACCTCCTGGATCCTGTTGTCAAAGGGTTTGATTTCTGTTTCCTAGGCTGCCTCTGGAAATAACACACCAGCTGGGGGTAAAAATAGGATCTGCAGGTTTCCAACGTTGGGTTCAGCATTTCTGTCACCTTAACTTGATTTCCTGGCAGCCACTGTAAATTCACATCTTTCACTAGCTGTAGTTTATCATTTCAAGATTATTCTGTGATTGTGCTGCCTGGGCGGGGGAGTTGGGTGGTAGGAAAGGGGGTGTTTCTTTCCTGTGCTTGTAGGGAGACTAACCTAGCCCTGTTGATTTTTTTTTTACTATATATTTTGTGTTTTTCGAAGTTTTTCTATAATTTGGTCTCCTTTTGGGCCTCTTGTTTTTTAGCTCTTTGTAACTGTGTGTGTGGCCATTTTGGTGGGACTTAGCTATGAAAATATCAATGCTTTTTTTCTGTTACCTTCAACTGCAAACCTTTTCAATTTTTCCCCTGCTCAAGGTTCTTTGTGTATATCTTTCTTCTTATTTAAGAACTATATGGTTTCGTTGATTTTATCCTAGACTTTGCCAAGCTGCCTTAAATAATTGAATCAGTCTCAAACAGGTTTTTATGAGAGTGTATGTAGGATGTTAAAGTCAATCCATCTCCACCCAGAGAGACCCAACTGATGAGGACGTATAAGTGCTGAGTGTGGGTGCTAGTGAATTATGCCTTTCAGCCTTTTTGAGTAATAGGGTTAGAAAGGTGTGTTTTTTCGCACCTACATATAATAACTGTAACACCAGAAGGTAAAGGTTTCATTCATTCACTATTAATTAAACATGAGAATTCATGTTCAAATTGTAAAGTCCTTAATTTTTGTTTAGCTTCCAGGAAAAAAGACAACTAAGCTTTGGGTTCCAGATGAAGAAGTTTCTCCTGAGACAATGGTCAAAGTGAGTAATATATATAGATTTCTTTATTTAAAATATATTTTTAATATAGGTGTTAACATTTCTATTCCTGTTACCACGTTGGCTATTAAAACCATTCAAGTTTTTATATTTATAGTATGACATTAACCCATATATTGTGAGAATATAAGGCAGTGATGAGAAACCCAAGTCCTTGAGGGCAGTTGCATGTAATCTAATTTGAGAGGAAAAAAAGAGTTTGTAAACTACCTCCATATTGCTGCTTTTTAGATATTAACCATCAAATGGCAAAAGACAATGCTGGTTTTCTTATGTACCTTCTGCTCTTCAGTAAAAATGGTCATTTGGATTTGAAGACTCTTTATCTTTCCCAAAGGATTTGATAAAACTTTTTATTTTGATTTTTTTTGTAAACCTCACCTCAATGCACTGCTCAAGATGTGAAGACGATGAAAAATCTTCTCGGAAGATTTATGTTTCATATTATTAAGTACTTTATCACATTATTCCAGCTTCAGATTCTGATAGACCTTTAGAGCATCCCTTCCTTTATCATTGAACTAGAGGCCCGTTGCAGGAATATTCCTGCAAGAATAGGGCTTCCTTTGACCTGTTCCTGCAAGAAGAGGGTTTCCTGTGGCCTGAGCGAAGCAGAGAAGGGGGCTTTGCTGCCTTATCCACTGCCTCACTCCCACCCATTTCTGCTGCCTCCCTCCCTTCTCCGCCGCTTTGCTCCCTTCTGCAACACTGGGCTTCCTTCTACACTGTCTTCAGTCTTCATTCTGAGCCTGTGTATGCAAATTAACTGCCATCTTTGTTGGGTTAATTTGCATACTTTCTCCTGATTGGCTTGTGGGCATAGTGGAGAGACTGTCAATTTTCATTTCTCTTTTATTAGTGTAGATGGTGCTTGATTCTTTCAAGTTCCAGTATAAATCTGTTTTCTTAGCATTGGTCTCAAGCAACAGTTTTGTGTGGTTGAACAGCAATGGACTGGAAGGCCGGCCACCTGCACTTAAGTTCATAATTACCAAATGGAACAGGAGAGACATTTTAAGGGTGTTTGGTCCATGCCACTGCAGAAGACAAGATCCATTCAGTCTGTGTGCCTTAGAGCTGTAAAAATCTAAGATAATGTGTGAAGAAAAGAAAAATTAATATGCATCCCTTCAAAAAGGGTTGTTGCAAATAACCTAGATACTTCATAATTATAAAAACAGTACAAATGTAAGGTGGTATCATCTCTTAGACACAAAAGATTGAATATAATTTGGAGCTTAACTTTTTTGCCTAGCATAGTTAGTATGATTTTATTGAGGGTTATAAAGTATAGAGTGTATGTTGGGGAAAATCAAACACACAAACACACACACACACACACACACACACACACACACACACAAGTCTTTTGTTAAATTATTTATTTGTCAATTATCTAGGAGGTGAGGCATATCTTCATAGATATAGAAAAGAATAATTCCTTTTTCCTTCCCTTTTTTCTCCCCAAAAAGGCATCAATGAAAAGCATTTTTTTTAAAAATTAAGCTTGATACAGAATTTCTTTAAAATGTAGCAATGTTTTACTTGTCAATTTGTCTTTTAAATAGATACAGGCGATTAAAATGATGGTTCGATGGCTACTTGGAATGAAGAATAATCACAGTAAATCAGGAACTTCTACTTTAAGATTGCTAACAACAATATTGCATAGTGATGGAGACTTGACAGAACAGGGGAAAATTAGGTATAAATTATTGTTTTAAGTTATTTGGATTGCATAGTATTTCAAATCTGCTGTAATCATTGCTTGGTTCAGTTTCTTTTAAAAAATAATTATTGCTATATACGTATGCCTATATTTTTATTGTAATATGCTTTTGTACAGTGATTATTTGTGCAAGTTACTACTATATACACTAATTATTTCAAACAAAACATCTTCATATTAGGCTTTTTAAAATTTTGAAAAACTAATGTGAAGATGTTAGTATACCAATAAGTACCTGATATTTTATGTTCTTGTTAATTAATGTCTAAAGGAAAAAAAGCAGACTGGGTGGAAGACAGCTTATTGAATCAATTCCAGAAGTAAAAATATATACAAATGAAAAGAAAGTTACTTGATGTAAATTATTTAAAATATACTTTCTTGTTTTGCTTAAAAGATACAGAATAGTGATTGGTAACAGACTCTTGGTCCTAGATTCAAATTCTGGCACCATCACTTACTAGCAAAGGGACCCTTACCAAGTTACTTTAACCTCTCCTTACCTAAGTTTCCTCATAGGGAATGACTAGATATCCCCTGTCTCACCTACTTATTATGATGATTAAATAAGTTAGTATATCTAAGGTGTTTAAAACACTGCCCAGCACATAGTATTTAGAAGTACTGGTGATGGCAGTGGTTATTATGACAAGGTTAGCTAAAATTTAGAAATTTGTCTTCTGTGTTATTTATTGACATTTTTTTGTAATAAACATAAGAGAATAACTTTTCTCCTCTTAATATATCTAGCGTAAAGACTTTAATGACAAAGTATATAAAGATGACTGCCAGCTTCTTTCTCCTTTTCTGTCTTCATTTCTTGTGTTTTTGCTGATACTATACTTTTTGCATAGACAGTTAAAAGGAGCACATTTTTATCAAACAAACAAAGTAAAAATAAAATATGGTTAAGCATTCCACATGTATGCTTATTTATATACATTTTTTCAGTCTAATTAGTTGTCTTTGCCTCTCTATAATTCATACTAGAGGCTCAGTGCACAAATTAATGCACCAGTGAGGTCCCTTGGCCTGGCCTGTGGGATTGAGCCGAAACCAGCTCTCCAACATCCCCCAAGGGATCCCGGAATGTGAGAGGGCTCAGGCCAAGCTGAGGGACCCCACTGGTGAACAATCGGGACCTGGGAGGGATGGAGCAGGTTGGCCAGCTTTGGAGGGGCCATGAGAGGGCTCCAGAGCATGTCTGGCCTGTCTCAGTCCCCATCAACCGGACCTCAGCAGTAAGCTAACATACTGGTCAGAACATCTGCTCCCAGATGGTCAGTGCATGTCATAGTGAGCAGTTGAATGACCTTAGCATTTTATTAGCATATTACACTTAGATTAGTTGAAAGGTCGACCAGACACTTAGCATATTAGGCTTTTATTATGTAAGATATGCCAATGTTCAGGATTTACATAATTGAAGAACATTTTTCTCTAGCATTAATACATTTTTATCCTTGAAATTTATTAATAACATTATTCATGTGCACATTTAGATCTTTCACCTGTTATTTTTCATGGTATTCCTTAACAAAATTAAATATGTACTTGAATTCTGCAAATGTGTCTGACTTATGTTGGTTTAGCATTTTTAAATAAATTTTATATAGAAATCTGGTTTTCAAAATATTAGTTGTGAAGTATTTATTTATAGTTGTTTATTTCTTTTTATAAATTCAAACAAGAAAGATTGTCCTTTAGCAGTGGCTGAGGGATTTAACTCAAACAGCTCTTAGAATATTGCTGTAGATGAACCGAAAGGCATCCCTGTGTCATGTAACTTCAGAACTCTATTTTTTAGAACTTCCTTTTTTAAAAAGTAATTGTTTATTTTTAAATTCCAGTTGTTGTACAATATTATATTAGTTTCAGATCTACAGCCCAATGATTTATATAACTTATAAGTTATATTGGCTAGGAAGACTGGCCACCAGGGAGGATCTGTTGTGCAGGGGCCAAACCCACGGATCAGGACTTGCTTCAGCAGGGCTATGATGCTTGGTGAATCCACCCCTTGACTTTTTTCTGTTGTAGGTGGTTAGGAGATGGGTGGTGTTTGGCATGGTCTGAAGTTATCCACTGGGTTTGTTGGCTCTGAGGCCTGTAAGCCAAGGTCATCTGCTGCCCGTGCCCTGTCCCAAACCATGAGCTACAAAGTGATATGCAGATGGCTACTACTTGTGCTGGGCTTGGAAGGGTCCAGGAGAGGCCACTGTGCAAACCAGGACCAGCTGTCAATAGTGACAGGCCTCTTAGGAAGGGGCAGAGGGCACGCCAAGGCCAGCTTGAGAGATTTTAAGAAAATCTGCAGCAGTAGCCAAGACAGCCCGTTTGTATGGGAAAGCCTCTGAAAATGGCCTGGTAGGCCCACAAGTTGGGTGAGGTGGGGACTCAGGATTACCAGGACTAGAAAACAGTATTAGCCAGGTTGGTGGAGACTGAGATACAATCCTGCTTGTGGGCTCTTTTAGGAGGGCTCAGCAAAGGAATAAAGACCTCTGCCTGCATTTTTGTCTGGGAAAATGTTGTCCCTCTAGACCTCCCCCTTGTGCCAGACAATTCAGTTCCTTTCTGTTTTTCCTAGAACTTTACCAGCTGCTGCCCCAGTGCTAGAGCTCAGAGCAAATGAGTTTGAATATATTCAGGCCTTTAAGAGGAAGGCGTGGGACTCCAGTAGCTTTCTGTCTCAGCCATAATCCCCACTGATTTTCACAAGCAGATATAATAGGGACTTCTCACTGTCACCCCACACTGAAACCCTAAGCTGGGGAGCCTGGTATAGAACTGGGACTTCTAAGTGGGAACCTCCACAGTCAAAATTACTTCTCCCAATTTTCAGTTGCCAAAGGTGGGCGAGGGACCAACTTGTTCTGGATTTTGGACCTTCCTACCGGTCCCAACATTGCTGCTTCTTTTATATCAGTGGTTTTCAACCTTTCTAATGCTGTGACTCTTTAATATAGTTCCTCATGTTGACCCCCCAACCATAAAATTATTTTCGTTGCTATTTCTTAACTGTAAATTTGCTTGTTATGAATCTTAATGTAAATATCTGTGTTTTTCGATTGTCTTAGGCTCTAAGGCGACCCTGTAAGCGGTTCTCAACCTGTGGGTCATGACCCACAGGTTGAGAACCGCTGCTGTAGAGCCTAAGACGATCGGAAAACACAGATATTTACATTAAGATTCATAACAGTAGCAAATTTATAGTTAAGTAGCAACGAAAATAATTTTATGGTTGGGGGTCACCACAACATGAGGAACTGTATTAAAGGGTCCGCGGCATTAGAAAGGTTGAGAACCACTGATCTAGTACATCACTGTATTATGAAGGGTTATTTAGATGTATTTACTAGTCAAGAATTTACTATTCTTTGAGATGTCCCATTTAGCATAAGTTTTCTTAAACATAAAAGGAGCTTCTTGGTAATACTTGAAAAGTTGGATTCTAGCTGACAATAGTAATGTTTTATTCACTACACCTGCTTTCATTCTACTTCTTTTATATTTAACATAGTAGTTTTAGTTGACTAATAAGCATGATAGGACATTTTTATGCCTAATTTGTAAACAAACACATAACTATATTTATAAAAGCCTAAGCGACAGAACAACTGGTCCATCGGTTGCTATGATGCACACTGACCACCAGGGGACAGGCACTCAAGACGCAGGATCAGGCTCCCTCCTGTCTTGTGGATTGGTCCTGCCAGGAATGGGCCAAAACAGGCTGGCCAACATCCCCTGAGGGGTCCCAGACTGGGAGAGGGCACAGGGCAGACCGAGGGACCCCCCTGATGCACAAACCACGCCTCTAGTCTAAAAAATAATCCATAGTGGAAGACTTAAGACCTAACAACTAAACATATGAATAATAGGCTTTGCTAGCCTAGACCGGTTTGGCTCAGTGGATAGAACATCGGCCTGGGGACCGAAAAGTCCCAGGTTTGATTCTGGTCAAGGGCATGTACCTTGGTTGTGCGCACATCCCCGTTAGGGGATGTGCAGGAGGCAGCTGATCGATGATTCTCTCTCATAGATGTTTCTAACTCTCTGTCCCTCTCTCTTCCTCTCTAAAAAATCAATAAAATATAAATTTTTAAAAAATAGGCTTGGCTACAAGCTGTTTTGTAGGAGAGAATTCCATGACTTTAGTACACTTATGTTCAGGAGAAGAATTTTGCAGAATTAGACATCCTATCCAAAGTTAAATAAATATAGTATGTTTTCAGCATCACTAAACTATTTTATGACTTTTTTTTTTTTCAGCTAGAGGATTTTGTAAAATTAGCTATACAAAGCAGGTATGTTTTTGTGCACATAGTTAGAAATCTAATTTACATTCTTTCTTGCTTATTTTTCAGTAAACCAGATATGTCACGTCTGAGACTTGCTGCTGGGAGTGCTATTGTGAAGCTGGCACAAGAACCCTGTTACCATGAAATCATCACATTAGAACAGTATCAGCTCTGTGCATTAGCTATCAATGTAAGGAAAAAGGCTACATAGAATATGACTTTATATGATCTTTGACCTAAGAAGTCCACCATGATATAGAGATAAAAATATTGAACATTTATGTCTCTTTTTTAAAAATTTATGTGAGGAACATTTTAGAGTTTTAAAACTAGCACTTGAATTTGGGGTTGCTAACATAGTACAGTTGACTCTTATTTGCAGTAGTTCTGCAAAGTCACTCCAAGCACTGAATTAACAAATACTGAACCATTTCTCATAAGGGAAATACAGGGGTGTTTCCTGCATATCTCAAGTCACAACATTTTTATCAGTCAATCATCCTTAACCTTATTTTATAATTTATATTTAAAGGGACCTTAATATTTAGTTGTTCTATTATTAAACTCATGGCCAACAGCATTATAACTCATGCCTGAATGAAGCCTATTTAACAAACATATTTTCTCCATAATGTACATCCCAGCCTTCTTGCTCTTAGAATCATTGCATTTCAGCACTATGCTTAGAAGTTAATTTAACAACAAGGTCATTAACAAAAATGTGAGAAATGAGTAACTATAGACCACCAAAAGAACACTTGTTTGTAATATGAGAGCTGAAACAACAAAGCGGAGCATTGCCTTGTTCAACCTCAATTGAACATGTGTCAGGCAATTCTCATATTTTGCTGCTCAGTGCATTAACTCGGGTTAACCACGAAAGTATTGCCAGTATTGATTTTGAGGTTGCAATTAAATTTTAGTGAGTTGGTAAATTCACAAATGCAGAATGTATGAATAATGAGGCTTGAATGTATTTAGTTTTTTAAAGGAAGAAAAAAGTATAGAAATTTATCGTTTCACTAGAAGCCCAATGCACAGGATTTTTGCAAGAGTAAGTCATCCTTTCCCTGGCTGCAGGCATCAGCTTCCCTCTGGCACCTGGGACCTGGGCTTACCTCACAGCCCCAGTTTTGTCCAGAAGGTCATCTGGTCTAAATACCATATTACACTTTTATTATTACAGACTAGTGGCCCAATGCACAAAATTCATGCAAGGAGCTTGGTCCTCGCAGCATTGAGTAAAAATTTCCAAAAATTAGAATAACATAATACATTACTTCATTACATTTGAATTACATTATTTTAGAGGTTTTTTTCTTAATATGATTTTTTGATATTTTAGAGAGAGTGAAAGAGAGACAGGCAATGATACGAGAAAGAAACAATGATAGGTTGCCGCCTGGATATACCCTGACTGGGGATCAAACCCGAAATCTGAGTATGTGCCCTGACTAGGAATGAAACCAGCAACCTTTTGGTGCATGGTAAGACACTCAACCAACTGAGCCACCCTGGCCAGGGCACTTTAGAAATTTTTAGAATCATTTGAGAAAATTAAAGAAAATGGACTTCCATAATAGTAAAGATGATATTCCAGTACGAGTTTTTTTTTTTAAATATATTTTATTGATTTTTCTTACAGAGAGGAAGGGAGAGAGATAGAGAGCCAGAAATGTCGATGAGAGAGAAACATCAACCAGCTGCCTCTTGCACACCCCCTACTGGGGATGTGCCCGCAACCAATGTACATGCCCTTGACAGGAATCGAACCTGGGACCTTTCGGTCTGCAGACCGACGCTCTACCGCTGAGCCAAACCGGTTTCGGCACCAGTATTAGTTTTTTATTCCTAATTTGGTTATATATGTTCTTTTTTGGCAATTACTTCAGGGATTATTGTAATTTTTTTCCACTTCCCCTTCTTTAACACTTTTTAAATTGCAATTTATAAACAATCATGCTGTGTTTTTTTTTTTTTATTATAATCATGTTGTCAATTTCTGGTACTTCAGTCTTTAAAAGTTATTCCAGATCCTACATATTTTGTTTTACTTTTGGTGTCGGTGTTCAGATTAGACTAAACCATTTGAGAAATGAGATTTTGGTGAGCCCATAATTTTCTGATTTAGTTTTCTCCTAATTTTGGAGATCATCTTGTTTTGCAAGAAAGTGAAAATTGTTTAAAAGGTATATGTAAAATTTCCTAAGAGAAAACAACCTATATATTTTTTTTAAAAACTCGCAATACTTGTATTTTGTTGATTTATCAGGTTGTTGGTCTGTTATTTCTTTTTTCTTTTTTTAATATATTTTATTGATTTTTTACCGAGAGGAAGAGAGAGGGATAGAGTTAGAAACATCGATGAGAGAAACATCGATCAGCTGCCTCCTGCACACCCCCTTTGGGGATGTGCCCGAAGCCAAGGTACATACCCTTGATCAGAATCAAACCTGGCACCTTTCAGTCCACAGTCCTACACTCTATCCACTTAGCTAGCCCGGTTTCGGCATGGTCTAATATTTCTTAGGGTAATGTTGCTATCGGTATTGAAGTAGAAAAATTTTTAAAAACCAAGAAAATAGGGAAATATGTAGACAGAAGGACTTTGAAACTTACTGAGTGCAAACCATTTGTTAAATGTCCATTATGTATTAGAATTATTCATGCTTATTAACTTCTAGAGACTTTTTTTTCTAGCATAGTATTTGTTATATATTAAGGTGAAAGTTGTAAGATTGCTCTGGAATTTTGTAGACTGTAGAACATGTTAATGGTTCAGTTTAATTATTAACGTATGGTTGGTTACCTTATTTTCTTCTAAACCAAACTTTTCCCTAATTTTTTAAGCTACATCTCTTCTTTTTAAACCTCTAATCCTCAAAAAAGAGTAATCTATATGTTTGTCTATCTTACACTGTTATCCTCTCACTCCTCATTAATCATTTGGCTTCATTGTTTTCCAAAAATGCTCTATTAAAGTTCAAAATCCAATAATATTGGTCCTCATTGTACATCTCCTTTCTGCATCTTTTGACACAAGTTATTGTGTCTTTATTCTTGAAATTCTCTTTGACTTCCATCTCCTGATTTTTTTTGTTGTATTTCTCTGACTACATTTTCTGGCCATTCTCTTTTCCTTTAAATTTAAGTGTTCTATGAGGATCTGTCCACAACTAACTTTTCCACTTATACCGTAGTAGAGGCCTGGTACTTGAATTTGTGCACTTGGGGGTGGGGCATCCCTCAGCCTGGCCTGTGCCCTCATACAGTTGGGAGCCCTCTGAGAATGTCGGACTGGTGGTTTAGGGGGCCTAAGCCATCAGTCGGACATCCTTAGCGCTGCTGCGGAGAGGGGAGAGGATCCCACCACCACCTCTACACTTGCCAGTTATGAGCCCAACTTCTGGCTGAGCAGCACTCCCCCTGTGGGAATGCACTGACCACCAGGGGGCAGCTCCTCCATTGAGCATCTTTCCCTGGTGGTCAGTGTACATCATAGCGACCGGTCATTCTGACACTCGGTTGATTTGCATTTTAACCTCTTATTATACAGGATATTCTTCTTTAGACATCTCATTTTCTATGTAAATGATTCCTGTACTACCAGCATTAACTTTTTTTTTTTTTTTTTTTTTTTTTTTTAAGTTTCTGGTCCCACTTCCATTGCTAAACATATTTTTCAAACTTTCATATTCTGTGAATGTCCGACTAAATTCATATTTTCCTAAATCTATTCATTTATGACATGTAGAGCTTTGGTAGGCCTTAAGTAAATCTGAATGGCATTTCTCAAATCCACAAGCATGATTTATATTTGACTGCTTGTCCTTGTACCTCATAGCAAAGTACAGATAATTCTGTCCTATCATATCTATTGTATCTATTAATCATTCTTAATATATGTACTTCTTAATCATTCTTTTATAGTCATCATTAGCTCTCAGGTAGTATTGTGAGACTTTATTATTGATTAAATTTCCTATCATGAGTCTGATCATGTTATTCCCTATTAAAAAAATATTTAGGGCCTTATACTCATAAAAAAGAAAAAAAACACATTTTAATATTTGGACTCAAATATACACTTAAAAATCTTGTTTAGCACACATTACCTTTTACCTACCCTCATTTCAGTGAAAGTTAACATATTTTTTCTTTTATTATATATGTTTGTCATATGCTGCCTCTAATTTTTTTTTCATCCTCCATTTCTACATATCCACTATCAACTCCTAAAAATCAAGACTAAGACAATCTTCTCAAAACTCTTCCTCATTTTTATAGCTGGTCTCCTTCTGATTTCCTGGTGGTTTTATCTGTAGTCCTCTGATACATACGTGCCTGTGCATTAGTTATTTACATACTTGTGATTTATTTCTCTTACTTGCAGTGAGCTCTTTAAAGGCGTATTTTGCCTCAGAGACCATTGTTAATGATATTTGAATAGATAGTAAATCTGAAGGAAGAGAAATTCAGTAATGTGGATCTTAACATTGTTTTTTTTTTTAAATATCGATATATTTTTATTGATTTTTTTACAGAGAGGAAGGGATAGAGATAGAGAGCTAGAAACGTCGATGAGAGAGAAACATCAACCAGCTGCCTCTTGCACATCCCCCACTGGGGATGTGCCCGCAACCAATGTACATGCCCTTGACCGGAATCGAACCTGGGACCTTTCAGTCCGAGACCGACGCTCTACCACTGAGGAAACCGTTTCGGCCTGGATCTTAACATTTTTAATAATTAAGCTATTTTAGAATTTGAATGCAGTTCATGAAAAATATGTATGTACTGCTGTGTGCTGTACATTGTTCTAGATTCTGTAAATACAAAAATGAGATGTCATGGCTGCCACCCTCAAGAACATAACCTCTTAGGAAAACAGAAAATAAAAATAAATGGTAATAACACAATGCAATACACAAAGTAATTAAACTGTTTACAAGATACTAGGTACTGCATTCATGACAGTAATTTGTACTAGAAAACGTCACTAAAAGTGAATTTACTTAAGATGCAGACTACTTAATACTTAAGATTAAGACTTTATTCTTAATAGTGAGTAAAAGTTTGTATCACATTTATTTTTGGGGAATATATTTTGTGGTACCATCTTCTTTATTTTAAAATATTGAACTAATAATTTGTTAAAACCAAAACTGAAAGTATCAGGTGCTTTTGTTTTTTAGTGTTTTTCTGCATAAAAGTTGTATTCTTCTGTCCTTTAACACTTATAGTCACAAGAATAATTATTTCAAAACAATAACAAAACAAACATTTAAAACCTCAGTTGTTAGGAACACTCTTTTTAAATTTTCATTCAGATGATTCTACTTTGATATACTTTTTATGACATGTCAAATTTATCATCTTTTCTCATTAACTCTGTCAGTTTCCTTTCATATGATTTGACATTTCTTCTCTAACATCACTTTAATGATTTTTTGGAATCCTAAACTTTGCCATGGGATTCACAATTTGACTTTGTTATTCATTTGCATTGTATCCTGAATGATGAGTGAGAGAGTGACAAAAACAAAGTCTAGCTAGGAAATGCATCTTAGTAGAGGGTGAAGGGGGAAATATTTGGAGATTAATTTTTAAATGAGTGATCTGTTTACTTGTGAATATATTTTGATAGGTGGATTTATATAGGTTGTAATTCCTTCATAATATATAAATGATAATGAAGACTCCTCTCCCTTATGGTAGTGATACTGAGGAAGGAATGAGTTAACTAACTTTGTTTCATTGAATGTAATTGTAGATAATAGATAATACACAATGTTTCTGTGGAAGTTAGACTTTTTTTGTTAAAGTAGGCATTTAGCATAAGAAACTGAAGTTTAAATTAAATGAAATAAGATGCACAAAATAAGGATTTAAACATAAAGGCAAGATTGTGACATAGGTTTTAAAGAAGAACCAAATGAATATTCTAAGATAGAAGAAATAATATAAAGTTGCAAAAATATGAAACACTTCACCCCTTGTGTTTTGGTGGAGAATGAGGTGTGATTATGAAACTCTATTTCACATATGACAAAAGTCATGTCAAATCTATAGATTGCTTTGGATAGTATGGACATATTAATGATACTGATTTTTAAAAAAAATATATTTTTATTGATTTTATACAGAGAGGAAGAGAGAGAGGTAGAGAGTTAGAAACATCAATGAGAGAAAGTCATCGATCAGCTGCCTCTTGGACACCCCCTACTGGGGATCTGCCCGCAACCAAGGTACATGCCCTTGACCGGAATCAAACCCGGGACCCTTCAGTCCCCAAGCCGACGCTCTATCCATTGAGCCAAACCGGTCCCGGCTTAATGATGCTGATTCTACCAATTCATGAACACAGTATATTCTTCCACTTATTTATATTTTCCTCCATCTTTTTTCAGTGTCCTGTGTTTTCAATGTCCTTAAATATTGAAGGAGGTCTTTGACCTCTTAGTTAAGTTTATTTCTAAGTATCTTAATTTTTGTTGTTGTTGCAATGGTAAATGGGATTTATTTATTTATTTATTTGTTTATTTATTTATTTATTTATTTTAGCTTTCTGAGCCTTCCTTATTAGTGTATTAAAATGCCATAGATTTCTGGGTGTTAATTTTGTATTCTGCTACATTGCTGAATTCCTTTATTAAATCTATTTTTATGAGGTTTTTAGGGTTTCCTATGTACAGTGTCATATCATCTGCAAATATGAGTTTTACTTCCTCATTTCCAGCTTGGATGCCTTTTATTTCTACTTCTTGTCTGATCACTATGGCTAGGACTTTCAGTACTATGTTAAATAAGAGTAGTAAAAGTGGGCATCCCTGTTTTGTCCCTGGTACTGGCACAAGAGAAAGTATATAGAGAAGTGGTTCTCAACCTTTTTAATGCCACAACCCTTTAATACAGTTCCTCATGTTGTGGTGACCCCCACTCATAAAATTATTTTTGTTGCTACTTCATAACTAATTTTGCTACTGTTATGAATTATAATGTAAATGTCTGTGTTTTCCGATGGTTAGGCGACCCTGCTAGCTGTTTTCAACCTGTGAGACCGCTGCTGTAGAGCCTAAGACCATCGGAAAACACAGATATTTACATTACAGTTCATAACAGTAGCAAAATTACAGTTATGAAATATAGTTGGAGGTCACCACAAATGAGGCATTTTATTGAAGGATTGAGGCATTAGAAAGGTTGAGAACCACTGATTTAGAGCAATAGAACAGAACAAAGAACTGAGAAAAGGACCCAAGCCATTATGCTCAATTAGTATTTGACAAGGAGGCAAGAGCATACAATGGAATAAAGACAGACTCTTAAATAAGTGGTGTTGAAAAAATTGGACAGGTACATGCAAAAAAATGAAACTGAACCACCAACTTACACCATACACAAGAATAAACTCAAAATGGATAAAAGACTTAAGTCATGAAACCATAAAAATTTTAGAAGGAACCATAGGCAACAAAATCTCAGACAACTCATGTAGCAATATGTTTATTGATACATCTAGGGCAAAGGAAACTAAAGAGAAAATAAACAAATGAATTACCAAAATAAAAAACTTTTGCACAGCAAAAGAAACCATCAACAAAATGAAAAGAGAGCCCACTCTATGGGAGAACATATTTGCCAGTGATACATCGATAAGGGGTTAATTTCTAAAATTTACAAGAAATTCATACGTACAACTTAATGAAAGGAAGTCAATCCAATTTAAAAATGGCTAAAGAATCTACATAAACACTTCTCCAAAGTGGTCATACAGAAGAAGGCCAAGAGATGGAAAAAATACTCGAAGTCACTAATCATCCATGAGATAGAAATCAAAACAACAATGATGAATCACCTCACACCTGTTAAAATGGCTATCATCAACAAACAAGTTTTGGCGAGGATGTGCAGAAAAGAAAACCCTAGTATACTGCTGGTAGAAATGCAGCCAGATGCAGCCACTGTGGAAAACAGCATGGAATTTTCCTCAAAAAATTAAAAATGGAACTCCTATTTGACCCAGTGATCCTACTTCTAGGAATATATCCCAAGTAATCAGAAACACCGATCAGAAAAAGATATGTGCACCCCTATGTTCATATCAGGACAATGTACAATAGCTAAGATTTGGAAACAGCCCAAGTGCCCATTAGCAGATGAATGAATAAAAAGCCTTGGAACATTTACATAATGGGATATTATGCAGCTGTAAAGAAGAAACAAATCCCACCATTTGCAACAGCATGGATGGACCTTAGTATAATATTATGCTAAGTGAAGTAAATCAGAGAAAGATAAGTATTACATGATCTCACTCACATATGGAATCTAATGAACAAAATAGGTCCAGAGACATAGAAACTTGGAACAGACTGTCAAACCTCAGAAAGAAGGCAGGGGAGGGTGGATGAGTAGGAAAAAATCAACCCAAGAACTTGTATGCTTATGTCCATGCATAACCCATGGATACAGACAATTGGGTGGTAGGCGGAAGCGGGCTCGAAGAAGTCAGTGTCGAAAAAGGGGACATTTGTAATACTTTAATATTAATACTTTAAACATTTTTTTTTAAATAAGAACAAACAAGTCATGTGGGGCTTTTCCCTAGTTTAGAAAAAAAAATTCTGATAATCTGTGTACTGGATGCTGTGCTAGATTTAGAAGCACAAAGATGTCTTCAAGGAATGAGGAGCATAGTAAGGACTGGCATATAAACCAGTCAGTTTAATACTAATACTGGTGCATAGAATTCATGCAGGAGGGGGGGGGGTCTCCTCAGCCCAGCCTGCACCCTCTCCAATCCGGGACCCCTCAAGGGATGTCCAACTGCCAGTGTAGGCCCAATCCCAGAAGTCGGACATCCCTGTCACAATTTGGGACCACTTGCTCCTACTGCTCACCTGCCTGCCTGCCTGATAACCCCTAACTATTCCCCCAGTGGCCTGGTCACCACCAACTGTCCCCCCCTCACCAGCCTGGTTGCTCCTCACTGCCCCCCTTCTGCTGGCCTGGACATCCCTCACTCTCTCCCTTCCCCCCCCTCCCACTGGCCTGGTTGCCCCATGCAACCTGCTGTTCGGTCATTTGGTCACCCTCACTAGACGCCCTGCCGGCCTGGTCACCCCAAACAGCCTGTTCGGTCGTCAATTCAATTGTTTTGGTTGCGTTGATCACTTAGGCTGTTATATATATAGATACTGACTTCTATGCTGGAGATGTCCAGAGTACTTAAGAGAGCACAGGTGGATGCAGGATAAAAATCACAGTGATTTCTGGAGGACAGAGGAGCTGTGATAATGAACATATTTATTCATTTATATAATAGAACAAAAAGTAATTAGGTGTTTCTGAAAATTCTTGCCTTCAGAGTTGTACATTTTAATTGAAATCATTTTGAAATGATAAAATGTATAGATTAAAATTTTATCTTGCTCAGTAAATGAAAAAGCTATATATGAGAGAGTATTTAAACTTTATTTTTTCCCCTACCTTATTTAACTTGAGATGGATTGCTATTCATGAGTTTTATCTGTTTTAAGAGTACATTCAATATTTTCTGACACCTCTAAACTGGTAGTGATTAGAGTCCAGGTAAATACTTCTGCCTTGAAATTAACTTGTCACAACATATCAGTCCTGTGAGCTGAACAATGATTGTGGATAAACTTGCTGCTGTTTACTGGTCTGGTTACTTGATAGAGTACATTTTATATCTGAATTTGTTACTCTTTGCTGCCATGTGATAATATGTAGAATAATGATGTCTTCACAGGATGAATGCTATCAAGTAAGACAAGTATTTGCTCAGAAACTTCACAAAGGCCTTTCCCGATTACGACTTCCACTTGAGTATATGGCAATCTGTGCTCTTTGTGCAAAAGATCCTGTAAAAGAGCGAAGAGCTCACGCCAGGCAGTGTCTGGTAAAAAATATAAATGTGAGACGCGAGTATCTGAAGCAACATGCAGCTGTTAGTGGTAAGCCCATATGAAAATGAAAAGTATGTTTTTCCAGCTTGCCAATTTTCTTTTCAGAGCACCAAAGTGATGTAACTGTTATTTATTATATTCTAATTAGCCCTCATTAAATAAGTATTACTGTTTTTCAATAATAGCTTCATCTTTAAAAAGTTTATTTTTAAAATAGAAGTGCGTGGGTATCTAAATATCAACTCATATCTCTATGCAACTGACAAAATAAACTGGCCAAGGGAAATAAGTAGTGACATTGGATGGAGGTACTTTTAATAGAACAGCAAAATGTATATGTCAGAGTATGATCTTTTAGTTTAAAAATGTACCAGTCTCTGGTCTTTATTGATTATTCTCATCACAACTGGATGTGCAGGACCAGCATCCTGGGTTCAAACCGGCAATCTTGCAGGGTGAATGGGACAGTGCTCAACCAACTGAGCCACACTGGCCAGGGCTGTGTACCTTTTTAAACTGCTCACTTTACCCCATCCACGATATTAGCTTTTGTGACTCTCTGACTTTAATTTAATTAAAATCTATCCAGTTATCCAAGTTAAAAATCAGAGACATTCTTCATATCTTCTTTCCCCAAATCCTTAATTCTTACTCTGGATATCTTCAACATTTCTTCTCAGCTGTTTGCTATATTTCTCTTGGATTAGTGTGTACATGTCTGCCTCCCTCTTATAAATTCTCCTGCCTCTAATCCACCTCCAGGTGTGCCACACTGCTATCAAAAATATTTTTCTAAAACACATTGGATCATATCACTATCATGTTTGAAATCTGTGTTGATTTTTTTATTGTTGATATAATCAAATTTAAACTCATTAACATGGCTCTTTAGAGTTTTACTCTCAACCTGAGTTTTAGACTTTTCTCTAACCATCCCCTACTATAAGTCCCATGCTTCTTATACTCTGGATTGTTTGAAATTTGTGTAGCCATCTTTTTCCCTGTTTGCAACAGTGCCTGTAAAGTTGCCTCCCCTTCCAGACAGACAAAACCAAGGAGCATGGTTTGCATCTTTTGCGTCCTTTAAAATGTAGTTTGAGAGTTACACTATCATTGGGATTATTTTTTTTTCTTCCTCTCCTTGGGAAAAATGAGTTCTCTGGATTCAAATCACACTTCTGCCATTTACTGGTTGTGTTTGGGTGTGTTACTTTAACAATCTGAGCCTTAATTTCTTTATTTGTAAAAAAAAAAAAAAAAATTTAAATGGTTTAATTATACTCATTTCTTATGGTTGTTATGAGTATTAAAAAATGTAAATAGCCTTGGCTGGGGATGCTCAGTGATTAGAGTGTTGATCTTTGCACTGAAAGGTCAAAGGTTTGATTTCTGGTCAAGGGCATGTGCTTGGGCTGCAGGTGTGGTTCCTGTGCAGGAGACATCCAACCCATGTCTCTCACATCAGTGTTTCTTTCTTTCTCTCTCTCTTCCTCTTCCCTCTCTCCCTCTCTTTCTCTAAAAATCAATGAAAAATGAGGATTAACAAAAACTACAAAAAAAGTTAACGTATATAGAACACTTGCCATACTGCATGCTCTAAAGTAGTCAGGCCCTAGCCAGTTTGGCTCAATGGATAGAGGGTTGGCCTACAGATCAAAGGGTCCCGGGTTTGGTTCTAGTCAAGAGCATGTACCTTGGTTGCAGGCTGTCTCCCTTTCTTTCCTTCTTTCTTCCACTCTCCCTAAAAATCAATGGGAAAAATATCCTTGTGTGAGGATTAAAAAAAAGAAGTGGTTAGCTATTCTTGTCTTAGGGCTCCTACCACATTGAAGGATAGGTTCTGTCTCTATGCCTTAGTATGAGGGTGTTGTCTAGCCTTAATAATCTTTATATTTAAAATAATAAGCCTGAAAAATTATAGGCACTCAATAAATATTTTATAAAAATTTAATTTGAATGTCACTTAATTTTGAACCTTGATACTTTTTTCCTCCTATACGTTCCTTAAAATGAAGGATATTACACACAAATTGTTCTCTTTGAGTTCAGTATTAGAAATAGAACTTGGTGCCTTATTGACTCGTATATTACTATACTCTAGGTTGAACGTATAATTTAAACTTTTATTTTGAAAGTAGGAAATATGAAAAGATGGTATAAAGTATGAATCCTGGTTTTTTGCATAATAACCTTATTAAACTAGTTAGGATTGCAATTCTGACCTCTAATGTAATAGCTGTTCAAAGTTAAAATACAGGGTGGGGTAAAAGTAGGTTTATAGTTGTTCATATTGGAAAATAATACAATAATTAAAAAAATAATAATACAAGAATAAACTCTGGGTTTGGCCAGGCAAATCAGTTGATTGAAGCATTGTCCTGTATACCAAAAGGTTATGGGTTCAATTCCTGGGGCACATATGGGAGACAACTGATTAATTTTTATCTCTCACATCAAAATCTATCTCCTCTCCCTCTCCTCTTTTTCCCCTCTCCCCCACTCTCCTTCTCCTCTTCCTCTTCTCTATTTCTCCCTAATCCTCCACCCCCTAGGAACAGAAAAATCAATAAAAACATATCCTCATGTGAAGATTTAAAAAAAACAAAAACCACAAAACTGTTCCATATATCACAAATGTAAACCTACTTTTGTTCCACCCTGTATAAAGATATTTTAATTTAAACTAAAAGAAATGTTTCTTTGATATTTAAAATATCCTAGAAAATGTTATTTATGTTTTTTTATATCAGTTTTTCTGTTACAGATAGGCAAATACTTTTACTTTGATACAAATAATACCAAAAACCTTTACTTTCTACTTTTGTGTCACACTAACTCTGAAATATTCACTAGTTTTTAATTTGCTCATAAGCTTATAAAGAAGGCACTGTTGAGCATAATCTTGCTCATAATAAGAAAAAAAGATCTTATGTTTCTTAGTCTAAGAGTTTGTTTGAGTCACTTTTCCCCATATGCATTTGAAAAGTGAAATAGTCTTTGTAACCACAGCATATAGTGCATTTAATAGACATTTCACTATTGTATATGATGAATGAATGAATGAATGAATGAATTTTTTAATTTATAATACAACTTAGTACTGGCTATTTCATATGTTTTTATTTTAGCCATAATTTGGTACTGTTGGGATATAGGAAATACTGAATCAGAGTAAAGAAAAAGAAAGGTTTATAAGATTTGGTTTTCTAACCTGGGTGTTTTGTTTTGTGTGTGTTTGTTTTTCAGAAAAATTATTATCTCTTCTACCAGAATATGTTGTTCCATATACAATTCACCTTTTGGCACATGATCCAGATTATGTCAAAGTACAGGATATTGAACAACTTAAAGATGTTAAAGAGTAAGATTTTTTTCATTCCATTTTCATATTTTCTGAAAGTTTTTTCCCTTTCCTGTTGATACTAGAACCTTAATTACAATTAGTTTATTAGATTTATTTTATTTTTTAGGAACTTAAGGTTTCTTTCTTTATTCTCTCATTTTTTTTTCAAAACACATTTTTATTAATTTCAGAGAGGAAAGAAGAGAGAGAAAGAGATACAAACACCAATGATGAGAGAGAATCATTGATTGGCTCCCTCCTATACACTCCTCCTCTGAGGATCAAGCCCATAACCAGGCATGTGCCCTGACTGGGAATCAAACTGTAACCTCCTGGTTCTAAGGGTGATGTTCAACCACTGAGCCACACCAGGCAGGCCTCTTTTTTTTTTTTTTTTTTTTCATACCGTCTCTTTATATTTTATTTCTTTTAATAGGAGCCCAGCGGCCACTGACACAGGAGCACAGAGCAGATCTGGCTCTGTGCTCCTCAGACTCCATAGCAGCCATGGCAGCTGCTGGTCCAAACCTGCCTCCCTCTCTGAGCCTTGAAGCAGCCCCAGCTGCTGCTGATCCGGCCCTCCCCCAGTGCAGGCTTGCGGAGGCCCCTGCCACCCCGCCCCCCATGCAGTGCATGCAACCTCCTGTCCGGTGAACCTGTTACAGCATCCCAGTTAATTAGCATATTTCTCTATTTTATATATAGAGAGATAATTTTCCAATATTTAATTTAGCATAATTACTGGATTCTGCTCTGTTTCTTTTCCAATCTAGCATTTCTTTTTTATCGAAGCAATCCATTAAACATTTTCATTACAGCTGAAAATGGTTTGGCTCAGTGGATAGAGCGTCGGCTTTTGGACTGAAGGGTCCCAGGTTCGATTCCGGTCAAGAGCATGTGCCTTGGTTGCGGGCACATCCACAGTAGGGGGTGTGCAAGAGGCAGCTGATTGATGATTCTCTCTCATCATCGATGTTTCTAACTCTCTATCCTTCTCTCTTCCTCTCCGTAAAAAATCAATAAAATATATATTTTTTTTAAAAAGTTTCCATTACAGTTCTTATCGTTTTCTACTTTCTTTTGAAATTCTGTATAGATTTTCATGTGGGGAGAAGTAATACAGTAGTGCTCTCCTTATTTCACATGGTAAGCACTTTTGTTTTCCAGACACTATTTTTCTTTATAAGGAAGAAAGAATGGTCTAATTTAATAACGGACTAAGTTGATAACCAGGCAACATTCCCATTTAATTCATTGGTGACATTTCTAAATAAAGTTAATGACAATTGTAATTTTTTCAAAGATTACTATTGAGAGGCCAAAAGAGTATATATATCTATGTGTGGAATAGAGAAATATGGAGTTTAGAGAAGTCCTTATAAGACAAGTATAATGTCAAATGACTAACTCTGACTAATCACTTGGCAAGGGAAAAAACTATTACCCTTTTACTATAATTTTAGTTTTTTAAAAATATGCAGTTCTCCCAAAATTAGTCTTGTTAAAGTAATTATAACTAATTAAAACTTCTAGCATTTCCTCTTTTTCAGAGAAAATTAGTTTTTTAAATAAATAAAATATTCTTTGGAATTTACTATATATTTTTGGCTATATCTCTAAATTGCCCCAAGACAGCCATGCTGTCATCTCTAGTCTTTGAGAAAGCCACTTCAAAAGAGCTTATTCTGTACCTGGATCTTAAAGGTTATTTTTTTTTTTTTTTCTTGTAGAATGTTATCTTGCTTCACATTTCTCTCTTCTCCTATTACTTTTCTCCTCTGTGCTAAAACTGTCACATTCTGGCAGAGTAATATACAGACAAAACCCTTTGTGTGTTTTTTCTTAAATATAATTTTTTTTGTAATTAACTTTAAACTGAGCTAACTTTAAAATTGAAATTTTCTTTTAATTTTTCATGTTTAAGCAAAGATAGTGAGTATGTGCAGTTGTTACCTATGACTTTTTTCTCTCTAATTTACTGATGAAGACTTTCCATTATTAAATTAAGGTAGTTGTATTTTCTTGAAGACTTCCAATTGGAACTATAGTCAAGATTTAATATTTGAGGCATCACTTTATTCATGGCCCAGTTATTCCCTTAGGTAGTCTTCCTTTCTTGTCATAGCTAAAATCACTTCATTATTTATTTCTTTTTAACCTGCTGCCCTGGGAAAATCAGTGAGACTTTGAGAGGGGTTCTTATGAACTCAAACTTAAACTACTGACACGTTGTGATATGTATGTGTGAGATAATTTTTTTTCCTCTATTGGCTTAGAGCTCTTTTTAATTTTTTTTACTGCTGGCATTCATTATATTTAGAATTATTATATCTGTATTTAACAATAAATTATTCTTTTCTATTTTTTTATTTTTCTAGATGTCTTTGGTTTGTTTTAGAAATATTAATGGCTAAAAATGAAAATAACAGTCATGCATTTATCAGAAAGATGGTAGAAAATATTAAACAAACAAAAGATGCCCAAGGACCAGATGATGCAAAAATGAATGAAGTATGTAATTCTTTGCAGATAATTATTCCTTATCTATTTAAGCACTTGAGTGTAGAGTATGGAACCTCCTGTAGTATTTTGTATACAATGTCAGTCTTTTCTATAATATTAGTAATAAATAATCAGTAGTATTTTGATTAATAGTAATTAGACTTACTAATATAGTTACTAATATAAAATTAGTAGTAATATTGTTACTAGTAAACTAATGAAAACAACAGTGTATGTTAAATTTAAACTATTGCATTAAAAACTGAATATTAAGTACATATTCTAGAATTACTTCCAATTTAGACTTTTAGGATACCTAAGTACCTAATTTTTTTTAATACCATTGCAGAAACTGTATACTGTGTGTGATGTCGCCATGAATATCATCATGTCAAAGAGCACCACGTACAGTTTGGAATCTCCTAAAGACCCAGTACTACCAGCTCGTTTTTTTACTCAACCTGACAAGGTAGTCATTTTAGAATTTTTTTGTGTAAGTTGAAGTAAAACCAGTACTTGGTTGTAGGGAGATCAAGAAGGAGCAGAATCAAGAGCTGACCTACTACTAATGTTATGGAAAGATCTTAATAATGTAGTTTAAGACCAGAATATGGGCCTAACAGGAGGCACAAATAAGGTTCAGAAATTAGTTAATAGGATCCAGAGTTTGTGTTCAAAATTTTATGCCACTTTGAGAGCACAACAAACTGTGATCAAAGCATGTAGATCTATGAGTAAATGGCCATTAAATGGTGATAGAGATACAGTCTTGATTGAGATCTACAACTATAGTAAAACCTTGATATAACAGACTAATTTGGACAAGAGGATGACGATTAAACCCCAAAATCCGTTATATAATAAAGTAGGTTTTCTGAATACATATGTTAAAAATCTACAAATTAGTTTACCTGTTTTTACTTATGTAAACAGGTTTGTGTTATTAAAATTACATATGAAAAGTTTAATTTCATAGAAAAGTTTTCTATATGTATTACTCTAATTTTAAATTTATACTGTGTAGGTCTAATAAATGTGTGAATTCACTAGCCACCGTGAGTAAATGGCTGGGGATGGTTCATCCCACATTAGAACGTTGGCTGGCCTGTGTTAAAACTGCAGCAGAAATTCACGCCACTCAACAACAGTGCGCCATGTGGTGTGATCACATGCTGATCATTCCCGAATATTGTTTGCCACCGATGACTCTTGGATTTAAATCTGTAGACTATAGTTGTAGATACATAATATTTATTTATATCTGCGAAATTATAGTATTTTTTCAATGCTAAGATTTGTTAAAAATAGCAATTAATTAATAACAAAAATAACCTGTTAATTATAAGCAAGTCTTGATTAAAAACATATTGAAATGAACAGGGTGTTAATTTTCACAAAGGACATATGGACTGGAAGTTTTGTCAGTTAAATTCGGAGTTCGTGCGAGAGTTTACTTTAGTATGAGGAGACTAGTGGAGAACAGATACTGGAATAGACCCAAGATCCTTGGAATGCTACAAGAATGTTCCCACTGTCATTAAACTCAAGTATTGTATGAAGTATAAAAGGTGTTTTCAAGATGCTATCTTTGACTCTTGAGTAACTGAGAGTATAGAAAGCACCAATGTCTTTTTTTTTTTCTTAATCAAAATACCAATTAAAGTCTTAATATAGTGTATAGAAATTTAGAACGGCCTTGTAGGTTCATCCAGAAGCTAAAAGTGATTATTGTCCGCTTTGAAGCATTCACTTTTGGTGTGATTAAGATATGAGGAGACTTATGTGGTACAAGATTAGTGCAAGTATATTATTTAAAAACAATAACTGAAATTTTGTGTTTTAACTGATTAGTTTTAATAAGTACAAACTTTTTATGTCTTTCAAAACAAAAGCTGATATTAGCTTTTCTTAGCTTTTTGATCCTCACAGATACAGTGTTTTAGTGTTCACTAACTACATCTTTTTCCCTTGTTTGTAGAACTTCAGTAACACCAAAAATTATCTGCCTCCTGAAATGAAATCGTTTTTCACTCCTGGCAAAGTATGTTTTGAGAATCGTTTCAATTGTTATGTGGTAGTTTATTTTAGTTTCATTAGTGGTAAAATTATGTTATTTTTGTATTTAAATAACTATGCTGTCTTTTGTATTTCTTTAAAAATTGGTATATTTTTAAGTAAGAAAATTTAATTATTAGGTATCTTCCATTTGCTAGTAAGAAATCGTTATATTAATTATATAGATGTAAGCTGAGATACATGACCTTACTTTTTAGCTTTATAATAAAGCCCTTGGAAACTTTGATCTTTAAATATCTATTCTATAATCTTTACTAATAAAAGAGTAAATGCAAATTGACCATACCTTGGAGATGCCAGTCAGGAGTGAGTATGCAGATTAACCAAACAAGGATGGAGAATTAATCTGCATACACAGGCCCCGAGCAGCTGGGAGTGGGACAAAGCGCTTACATCGTTGCCATGGCAATGATGCAGACATTCCACCCTGCCCCAGCCACTCTGAGCCTCTGGGCAGTGTGGGAATACGGAAAGGGAGCTACAGGGCAGAATGAAAAGCGATTCCAGCCAGGATGAAGGCAGTGCCAGCAGCCAGGGGAAGGAAGGCACATTCTTGCATGAATCTTGGTGCATCAGGCCTCTAGTATCAAGATAAAATTTTAAAGTAAAAAAGGATCTGTCCTTTCATAGCCAGAGTCTAATCTATTCTCATTGTTATACCTTTGATTTGTTCTCACTTCTGTGTAAGCTTTGAAATAACTAAGAAACTTGACTGTTCTGCTACCTGTATAGTTTTTTATTTGTTCAAGTAATATCCAATTTATTCTTACTTAATAGGCACATTTTTTCATTATCCTATCTAATAAAGAGGGAATATGCTAATTGACCCTCACGCCATCACAGATATTGTGGCACCCATGGCCAATAAGGCAGAAATATGCTAATTTACTGGCCCGCCCTCAAAGATGGCAACACCCACAGCCAATAATTAGGAATATGCTAATTAACTGTCCTGCCCTCAAAGATGGTGGCACCCACAGCCACAAGATAGTGGTGCTCAGTCCCCTCAGCCCTGCCTGCCCCCAGAATTCCCCAGTCCCCTCAGCTCTCCAGATGCCCAGGGACTACCAAACAACTGAAAAATCAGGCTGTGTGGGGCAACCATGCTGGCAGGGGGCTTAATGTGGGACAACCAAACAACTGAACAGCAGGCTGTGTGGGGTGACCAGGTCAGTGGAGATTCCATGAGGGGCAACCAGGCTGGCAGGGTGGGCACTTGGGGGCGACTAGGCCAGCAGGGGGGGCTGTTGGGGATGACCAGTTCAGCAGGAGTGGCAGTTGGGGGTGACCAGGCTGGTGGGGGGTTGCATTTGGGGGCAACCAGGCCATCAATGGGGCACACTTGGGGGCCATTAAGCTGGCAGGTGGGCAGTTGGGGGCAACCAGGCCAGCATGGAGACAGTTAGGGGTGACCAGGCCGGCAGAGGGGGTTAGTTGGGGGCGACCAGGCCAGCGGGAAGACAGGGGTGATCAGGCTGGTGGGGGGGGGGGGGCGGCAGTTAGGACTGACCAGATCGGCAGGAAGGAGGCAATTGGGGCTGACCTGGCTGGCAGTGGGGGGCTGTTATGGGTGACCAGGTCAGCAGGTGGAGCAGTTAAGGGTGATCAGGCCAGCAGGGGTGGGGGGAGGGGCAGTTAGGGGCAACCAGGTGAGTGATTAGGAACCAGCTGCCCAGTATTGTGAAAGGGATCCTGGATTCAAAAGGATTCAGGCTAGGCTGAGAGGAACCCCCCTCCCCATGCACAAATTTTATGCACCGTGCCTCTAGTTTGTATATAAATACTTTGACAGAGATGTTATTTATGGTCTTTTAACTTTCTTTTGGCTTTAATCAAATAGAGATATACATTTTTCATTACAGCCTAAAGCAACCAATGTTCTAGGAGCTGTTAATAAGCCGCTTTCATCAGCAGGCAAACAATCTCAGACAAAATCTTCACGAATGGAAACTGTGAGCAATTCAAGCAGCAGCTCAAACCCAAGCTCTCCTGGAAGGATAAAAGGGAGGTAAGTACATAAGAAATACCTACTTTATATTTAAGGATTCCAACAAAACTATAAGAACTAAAATAATGTAACCCAAAACATTTAATATCAGTGAGTGGAAATCAATGCATACCGTTTAACATTAGAAGTCAAGCTCTCCATCTTAGCCTTTTATATTCTAGCTTTTGGGGTAATCCAATTGTCTAGCAATTGTAAAACTGTTAAAAGTATACCCATTCAGTAAAATACACAGTCATTAAAAATTATGAAGTAGATAATATCAAGGGTTTCAACAATACATTATTGAATGAAAGGAGAAAGAATAAGAACAGTATTAGGTGTTTTTGAGTTTTAAAAAGGATTTGCATTTAAATTTACTTTAAAAGTTTTTAAAAGAATAAATCACATCTTTTATATATATATTTTTTTTTTAATTGATTTTTTTACAGAGAGGAAGGGAGAGAGATAGAGAGCTAGAAACGTCAATCAGCTGCCTCTTGCACACCCCCTACCAGGGATGTGCCTGCAACCAATGTACATGCCCTTGACTGGAATCGAACCTGGGACCTTTCAGTCCGCAGACTGACACTCTACCACTGAGCCAAACTGGCTTCGGCATAAATCACATCTTAATAGTGTTGATGTAATCTATTGTAGACGGGAAGAACATCTTACATTCTTTGGTATAATTTAAACTTATTTTTATTTTATTTATTTATTTTTTAAAATATATTTTATTGATTTTTTTACAGAGAGGAAGAGAGGGGGATAGAGAGTTAGAAACATTGATGAGAGAGTCATCAATCAGCTGCCTCTTGCACACCCACTACTGGGGATGTGCCCGCAGCTAAGGTACATGCTCTTGACCGGAATCGAACCTGGGACCTTTCAGTCCGCAGGCTGATGCTCTATCACTGAGCCAAACCGGTTTTGGCAGATTTAAACTTATTTTTAATATGTGCGTGTATAAACTTTTTGTTTGAAGGAAACATATTTTACACTTTCTCTAGTTTTAGCCATAAGTGCTTAGCACATTCTTTGTTAGTAGCAGAGCCTTATACAGGGCTAACCTGCCACTGTTTATTGATTTTGCTGTTATTATTGAAGACTTAATGCTGTCTTTTGTATAGTTCACAATCAGTTAGTAAAGGAAACATACTGAAGTATCTTACCAGCTCCCTTACAATGAGTGCTTAAATGTTATACAGTCAAACCTCAGTTCTGGAACATTTCCCATTTTAACTATTTGGTTCTTGACCAAGTTGTTCACAGACAAGAATGTCTTGCTTGTCCAACCAAACTTCCATTTTTAACCTGACAGCCCTTTTATGTTGATACCTCAGTGAGAGGAAAAGTGTCTCTCAGGTAACAAAGGAAAGAATGCTTTTGTTGCTGGGGAAATCAACAATTAGCACAATTTTTAAAACATAGAGGCTATCAGGAGTGTTAATGTTGCTAAGGGTATGAAAGAAGCAATGATCACAGGCAATTGTAAAGGCAGAATTGATGTTGATTTAGATAAAGAAAAGTAGTTAGCAGGTGACAGCATTTCCGAGGCAAGCAAAGATGCTGCATACTGACCTGAAAGACACCCCTGGAATGAGTGCTGAAAATGATTCATTTAAGGCTAGTAAGGGGTGGTTCTATAAATTAAGAAAAGAAAGTATATGTTTATAAATTAAACAGTACATTAGACATGTACTGGATATAGGAAAGTTTAAAACAGGAATTCATTTGGTGGTCTGGAACAGAATAATTCAACTTACATTATTTCTAATGGGGGATAATGGTTCTGTTTTTGAACAAAGCACTTCTTGAACAGCCTTCCAGAACAAATTAAGTTCGAGAACAGAGATTCCACTGTATAGTATAATAGAAGTAGGACAGAATTAATATCTATAACTCCTGTTTGTTCAAGATTTCTATATTAATATATATTAGTGGCTTATACTTAAGTGACTCTTTACACATATCATTTGAATATTTTCTAGTGAATATCCTCATAACTTAAAATGACCAAAACTTTACCAGCAACTAATTCTAAATTATTGGGGGTTTTTCCTTGAATTTCTGGTTATAATCATAGATGATCTAACTCTGCCTAGTCATTTAGACTAAGAACATCAAAACTATCCTTGACTCTCCCCCTTGTTAAGTTTAACTAGTTATTTTTCCCTACAGTGTTTTATACTTCTCTTTTCTGTTATTTTATTCATTCTCTTTAATTATTATACTTGGCTATTTCCCTTTCTTACTCCTCTAGCTATCTAGATCATATCATTGCTAGGTTCTCTTTTTTTTAATGCTACTGGTTTAAGGTTATTCTATTGTTCAGAAATCTTAATTGGCTCTCCTTATTTGTTTTTAAGATAATTTATATGTTAGTCTGTCCTCATCTCCCATTGTTACTCAAAACAAGTGACTCCTGGTTTCCTGATATACTTTTTCAATATACTTTGGTTAAATTTTCTTTCACTCTTGATTATCCTTATTTTGTCCTTTTTTCATCCAATCCCATTCCTTCGCTAGAACTCTTTCTACAAGAATAAGCTAAGTGTGTTTGAGACAGTTTGGTTGGAGAGTAGGAATGATAATAATGGTCAGAGATGAAGTTGAGAGATAGCCAGATAATGTTTGGACTTTGTGAATGTAAGAAATTTGGTTTTGATTTTTAAGTACAATTGGGAAATACTGTTATGGAGTGTAGTGATCTGGTTTGCTCTTTAAAATAGTGCTGTGATTGAAAAATAGAAAAGCTAGGATTGAGATAGAAAAACCAGTGTGGAGTCAGCTAATAATCTTCTAGGGAAGGGGGAAATATGGCAAATAGTGAAATTTAGGATTTATTTTTATGTAAGATCAAGTGGTCTTGCTTTATGGATTAGTTGTGAACAGTTAGAAAGAAGAGGGATTTAAGGATGTATCCTGGATTTTTGTTTCACCTCTGAAGATAATGATGCCCTTTACTGAGCTGTAGAGCCCTTGAGAAGGAACAGGCTGTGCCTGTGTGTGTGTGTGTATTTTGAGGAATTGGGGAAAAGAGAAGCCATTACTGAGCTTTAGAATCCTTGAGGAGGAACAGGCTGTGCTTGTTCCTGTGTGTGTGTGTTTTGGGGAAGTGGGGAGCAGCGGGTGTCCAAATAGCTATTTTGGCTGTGGTGAGGTTCAGATTCCTATTATAAATTCAAGTGAGTGGGCAGCTGGATATGTGAGTCTAGAACTCAGTGTAGCACCTTAGCTAGATATTGAAATCCAGGATTTCATAATGTTTCAGTGGGTTTTAAAACCAGATAAGGATGAAATCACCCAGCATAGAAGACTGAGCCTTTATGCATGAAAAAAAATGTGCTCTTAATTTATTTAACAAGTATTTATCGGGTGCCTACTCTGTGCCAAGCACTGATCCACTTGCATTAGTATGTGTTGGTAAGTAAAACTGACAAAAGATCCACATTTACATTCTAACAGGAAAAGGTAGTCAGGTAGATAATAAACCTAGTAATAGCTTTTAGTGTATTATAGGGTGATAATGTAAGAAGAAAAAGAATTAGGGAAAGGGGAGAGGCAGGGAACAGGGCAGATTGTAATATAGGCCAATCCAACTTGCTAATAAATGTCTCAATTTAGTTTATGTTCCTATTCCAAATAGAATTTAGGTTTTAAAAAGAATTAGGAAAAAAATTAATTTGTGATGTTTTTATTTTCCTTTTTTATTAAACTTCTTTGCTTATTGTTTCAGTGCTAAGTATGATAGAATAAAACCAATACTTTTTGAATGGAATGAACCTTTATTTTATAAAGCTGCATTAGAGAACAAAAAAAGCTTTTAAGGTTATTTGATTGTAATAACAATTATAAATTGTATTAAAAGGCTTGATAGTTCTGAAATGGACCACAGTGAAAATGAGGATTACACAATGTCTTCACCTTTGTCGGCGAAAAAAAGTGACAAGAGAGACGACTCTGATCTTGTAAGGGTGAGCTATTTGGTCTGATTTATAATTATTATTATTTTCATTTTACTGAAATAATTTTTACACTGAAACCACTTAACATTACTCTCAAATTTGACATGATTTTCTTTTGTTTGTTCATTAATCTTTACCCGAGGATATTTTTTCCATTGATTTTTAGAGAGAATGAAAGAGGAGAGAAAAAAGCAGTAGGGGGAGGAGAGAGAGAGACATTTATGAGAGAGAGAGAGAAAAAGTCATCTATGTGAGGCTCTCACACTCACCCTGACCAGGATGGGGTTGAACCTACAACCTCAGGTATGTGCCAGGATGGAATCTGAGACCCTTTGGTGCACAAACTGAGGCTCTACCACTGAGCAACACTGGTCAGGGTGACATGATTTATTTTTAAGATTTTAATTATAAATTTGAGTTTATGATGATCCTCTACCATGTAATTTAAGTATATTGAATTTCTTGTTCCTTTTGTCATTCTACTAAGTAATCTTTTACTTTAGGTCTTTGGACTTGAACATGCTAGTCTAGTTTTATACTCAGACTGCTGGGTTCTTTGTTTGCTTTTTTTAAAACTTAAATTTAGAATTAGCCTTAGAGAAAAGAAATAGAATGAGGTAATTTAAAGACTCCCTCATTTTAATTGATTTCTTGAACCTTTAATTACTAAACTAAAGGCCCAATGCACAAAATTCGTGCAAGGGACTCAGCCCTTGCCACTGGCTTTGTCCAGAAAGTCATCTGGCTCTCCAGTTTAATTAGCATATTATGCTATTATTATTATAGATAAGCTTCTAATAAAGGTAGCAATTGCTACAGTTCTCATATAGTCCTTGTTCAGTTTTAAAATCTTAATAGTAATGATAGTTGATATGATAGATACAATTTATAAATGTCATTTGAAGACAAAGTTGGTGGTTTTGGTGCAGATACAGAAGGTAGAAGTTATATATTTCAACACAAACTGATGGCCTTAATAATTGGGCACATTTTTATTTTCTAGGTTGGCTCTAAACTTTTTAAAATAACTAACTCTCTGAATCCGTTTCTTTATCTGTAACATGTGGATACTTAGCTGGTAAGATTTATCAGAATAAATCAGTTAGCCCAAATGAATTGTTGTTAAAGAGATTAATATTTTTATTAATGATTACCATAAAATAAAAGTTAATGTGTTTCAATCTACTCAGTTAATAGAGTGGAAGGTTATTAGTAAAATAATTACTTTTGCTTTTTTTGAAATATAGAGGTGGGCAAAAATAGGTTTATAGAAGAAGACAAAATAATATATAAATAAATAATAATACCGGAATACACTCTTTTTTGTGTACTCATAACTGTAAACCTACTTTTGCCCATCCTTACAGTACTGCCCTAATTGTCTTTTACTGTCTCAACATTACATAGCCAAAAACTTTATTCTCAATTCTTTTCAAGTTTCTCTAGTAATTTACTTTGCCAAATTTTTTCTCTTTCCGCTTGAAAAGTTAGAATTCTAAAATTCTTATTAAATCCCATTATCTATATGTAAATTCTGATTTTTATTGGCTGTTTAAAAATTTCAGCCAACCAGAATTAAAGTTGATTGCTTAGTCAGAAAGGAATGCTGTTACCTGGATTTATAGAAGAAAGCTCTTGAATTGGAAAAGGTATTTATCTTCTAATGCTACTTCTCATTTAGTGCAAAAATTCCTTCATTATCATTTATAAGAGTTGGTCAACATGTGCTTGGAAATGCCTTAGTAGAAGAAAGCTTATAATTTCTCTCATTTATTGGAAACATCAGGTAGGCCATCCTTATCCACATGCTACTCCTCTTTATCCCCTCAAATTTGGGAAATGATTTTGATTAATTCTTAATATTTTTTTATTCTGTAAATTCCATATCTAATTTTACCTTAGGGAGCAATGCAAAATACAGTCTCTATTTTTCATTGAACAATTTTGAATTTCTGTCCTTTTGGAATTTATTTGTATAGTTATAATGAAGACCTTTGGCTGTCCTTTGTGCAACATTGCATTCCTTTTCAAAAGTTTTAGAAACTTATTAATCTAGTTTCAACTAAAATATCCTCAGAGAGGTGAGAATTATGAGATAGAAGTTTAATTTTAATATTTTTAATATCAGTAAATCATAGTGAAAGAGTACTGTCTCCCTTGCTATTCCTAGCTTTATATTGATAATAAAATGCAAAGGAATTCTCTATATATTTATATTCAAAATTATAGTTTTGCAAGTAACATTTTTCTGCTCCTCGCCTTAGTTTTATACTCCCTTTGCTCTTAAAACAATATAATGCAAAATGAAAAAAGAAATTAGAGAATATAGTGCCTTAGCAAACTAGATTACTTTTATGGTATTCTCAAGAAAGCAGGCATTGGTTTCATTTTACTACCAACCTTTTTCAGAGTGTAAAGGAATTAGGTCATTCTTTCAGATCTTTGGACATTCAAATGAATTATAGCATTTAAAATTGGAGATGACACTTTAAATTTAGTTTTAATGCATATTTCTTTTATCTTTCCATCTCTGAGTGACAACAGTTAATTTTTAATTATATAAAAGAAAAAAAGAGAACTCATGGGACATAGACAATAGTGTGATTGTGGGGTTAGAGGAGAAAGAGGGCATAGAGGAGATAGATGGTGATGGAAAAAATTAAAATAAAAAGTAAATATATGCTAACAAATTAAAACCAATCATTTGTAGGTCTTTTTTTTCCTTGGAATGTAAGGATACTATAATGCAAAAAAAAGAAACCTTAATATGTTATATCATATTAATAAACAGAATAAGAAAAACACTAAAAAGAGAATCATAGATCATGCCAAAGAAGACATATAAATTTTCACAGATGAACTTTTAATAAACTAATACCAAAAGGATAAATCCTTAACATGCTAAAAATTTTGTCTATTTAAATTAGTAGTGAATGATATAGTTGAAGTTATTATTCTTAATGGCAAAATACTTGAAACATCCTTATGAAAAGTCAGGAACAAAACAAGCAACCTGCTGTTGCCACTATTATTTAAAATTGTACTAGAATGTTCATTTAAAGAAGACAATGAAATAAAAGTCAAAGGTATGACATGAATAAGAAGATAAATTTATTTTTATTTTTGTTATCTTAGAAAAACTAGAGAAGTAATTGAAAAACTAAGGGGTTAGCATGGTAGCCACGTATCTATATATGTATGTACATAACTAACTTCACTCTGTTGATTTTACTTTTCTTTAGGTATACACTTGGGGGAAAGTGGATTGACTTCACCACAATAACCACTACAACAACAAAATTAGAGAGATAACAGACAGATAGATCTAAACATGATCTTAAATAGAACCTTTGTGGAGAAAATATCAAAACTGAGAAACATAGACGACTTAACAAAGAGAAAGCATGCTATGTTCCTTCATAGGAAAAATGTATTTAAAAGATGACAGTTTTGCTCCAGCCAGTATGGCTCATTGGTTGGGCATTCACCTGTGCACCAAAGGGTTGCCAGTTTAATTCCTGGCCAAGGCACATACATGCCCAGGTTGCTGGCCCAATTCCTGGTTGGGGGTATGCAGGAAAAAGTTGATCAGTGTTACCCTCTTGCATCAATGTTTCTCCATCTCCCTTTTGGTCTCTCTAAAAATAAGACAACTACCTTATAAAAAAAAAAAAAAAAGATGATAAATTTTTATATAATTGGCCCAGCCTGTGAGACTCAATTGGTTGAGCATCAATCTATGAACCAGGAGGTCATAATTTGATTCCTGGTCAGGCCACATGCCTGCGCTAGGAGCTTGATCCCTAGTAGGGGGCTTGCAGTAGGCAGCTGACCAATGACTCTCATCATTGATGTTCTGTCTATTTCTCCCTGTCCCTTTCTCTCTGAAATCAATAAAAATATATGTTTTATATGTAACTACAATTCCAGTGTGATTTTAAGTCCATGTGAAAGAATAAATGTTCAAAAAGAGGAGTAAATCATAAGATCAACCAACCAGATACATAGTTATAATTATTAAAATATTGTGCTATTTTAATAGCCCCAAAACATTATTTTTTAAAACACAATAAAGAATAAAGGAAGCCCTAGCCAGTTTGGCTTGGTGATATAGCATCAGCCTGCATACTGAAGAGTCCCAGGTTCGATTCCGGTCAAGGACACATGCCAGGGCTGTGGGCTCGATCCCCAGTGGGAGGCATGCAGGAGGCAGACAATCAATGATTCTCTCTCATCATTGATGTTTCTAGCTCTCTTTCCCTCTTCCTTTCTCTCTAAAATCAATAAAAATGTATTTTTTAAAAAAGAATAAAGGAAGCATTACAAATCAGTAATTTTGAAAGAATTGAATATCTCTTTGGGAGTGGAAGTAGGAAAAAGCAATTTAGAACCTCATCTCATATCCTATTCTAAAACAAGGTAAAAAATAATGTCTGGCCGAAACCGGTTTGGCTCAGCGGTAGAGCGTCGGTCTGCGTACTGAAAGGTCCCAGGTTTGATTCCGGTCAAAGGCCTGTACGTTGGTTGCAGGCACATCCCCAATAGGGGGTGTGCAGGAGGCAGCTGGTCGATGTTTCTCTCTCATCGACGTTTCTAACTCTATCTCTCTCCCTTCCTCTCTGTAAAAAAAAAAAAATATATATATATATTTATTAAAATAAATAATAATAAAATAATGTCTGACTGGGCTGCTATAACAAAATACTATAAACTGGGTAACATAAAACAATAGAAATTAATTTTCTCACATTTTTAAAGATTGGAAAAGTTAAGATCAAAGCTCTAACCAATTCAGTTCCTGATGACAGCTTTCTTCCTGATTAGCAGATGGCCACCTTCTTCTTGTGTCTTTACACGATGAAGACAGAGAGAGAAAGAGCTCCTTCCTGTAATCTCATAAAGTCACTAATCCCATCATATGGGCCTCACCCCACAAGACCTCATCTCAAATAAAGTACTTCTTAAAGGGCCTCTCTCCAAATACATCACCTTAGAGATTCTGGCTTCAACCAATGAAATTTCTAGAGACACAATTTTTTTTTTAAGTTTTATTGATTTTTTTACAGAGAGAAAGGGAGAGGGATAGAGAGTTAGGAATATTGATGAGAGAGAAATACTGATTAGCTGCCTCCTGTACACCTCCTACTGGGGATGTACCTGAAACCAAGGTACATGCTCCTGACCGGAATCAAACCCAGGACCCTTCAGTCCTCAGGCCGACGCTCTATCCACTAAGCCAAATTGGTAGAGAGACAATTTAATCCATAACAAATAGTTGAAATTTTAAAATATGCAGAAATGTAAAAGAATATAGATTAAAACACTAAAACTACAGGAAACAAATGGAAAAGGGCATAATCCCAATGACATAATTAGACAGTTCACAAATAGGGAATGCACAACTAATTAAATATTTAAAAATTATAAGTAGTCAGATCATTTTTGTTTTCAATGATTTTTAAGAATGTAAATTGGGCCGAGACCAGTTTGGCTCAAAGGATAGAGCGTCGGCTTGCGGACTGAAGGGTCCCGGGTTCGATTCTGGTCAAGGGCACGTACCTTGGTTGCGGGCATATCCCCAGTAGGAGGTGTGCAAGAGACAGCTGACTCTCTCTCATCGATGTTTCTAACTATCTCTCTCCCTTTCTCTTTGTACAAAATTAATAAAATATATATATTCAAAAAAAGAATGTAAATTGGTACAAACTTCGGAAGTTAATTAAATATATAAACATATATTTGTGTGTTTTATATTGTATGTGTGTATATGGAGAGCATTATACATGTTCATACATACTGTTCTTCGTTTCTTTAGAGAATTTTCTCAGTCTCTATCTGCTGGTAAATGCATAAATTCTCCAAATGTAAACTAGGATTTTATTTTAAACTAGAGGCCCAGTGTACAAATTCATGCATGGGTAGGGTCCCTTAGCCTGGCTGGTGATTGTGGCCAATCAAGGCCAATTAGGGTTGCCCATCAGAGGGGAAAGGAAGGGGACCATGGGAAATTGGCCAGCCACAGGAGGTTGGCTATGGGAGTGCACTGACCCACCAGGGGACAGCTCCTGCATTGAGAGTCTCCCCCCTGGTGGTCAGTGCACGTCACAATGACCAGTCATTCGGTCACTTAGGCTTTTATATAGAGAGATTTGAAAGTGACTGATTTTAAAAATTATTTTTGTTTCTGGGATAAAACAGTATCTTTGATTCAGAAATGTGTTCAAAACTCAATAAATGTTTAACTTTCATATTTTGCCATTTTTGTTTATAAAACAAAAATAGTCCTTTTATGATATGTAAAGCATGATATAGAACATAGATATTTTATGTCTTACTATATACTGTGTGGTAAAATTAGAATTACTCAAATTGAATATCAAAACTGATCCATTATATTTTAATATAGTCCTCTATTATTCTAGCATTGAATTAGAATGTTCTTTTTATGTGCCTTCATTAAAATTTATAATGTAATAAAATAGTGGTCTTGAGAAGTTTCCATTTGAGGCTTTCTAGCTTAAGTAAAAATAAACGAGTACCCTCTTATCCCAGATAATGTTTTAAATTATAAAATTAATAAAAGCAAGTTAAGTTATGGTTCTGATATATTTAAGAACTCTATACTTTATTTAGGTACATTTTTATGACAAAAGTGTGTAATAGATTTTTTTGTTTGTTTCATTCAAAATATGCTTACTAACAATTTTATATTTGAATTTGTGATTTTTATTCCTAGTCTGAATTGGACAAACCTAGAAGCCGGAAAAAAACACCAGCCACTGATTCAGAAGAGAAATTAGGTATGGATGACCTGACTAAATTGGTACAAGAACAGAAACCTAAAGGCAGTCAGCGTGGACGGAAGAGAGGCCATACAACTTCAGAGTCAGATGAGCCGCAATGGCCTGAGGAAAAGAGACTCAAAGAAGATTTGTTAGAAAATGAGGATGAACAGAATAGTCCACCAAAAAAAGGTAAAAGAGGCCGACCACCAAAACCTCTTGTTGGGGGAGGTACAACAAAAGAAGAGCCAACAATGAAAACTTCTAAAAAAGGAAGTAAAAAAAAATCTGGACCTTCATTAATAGAAGAAGAGGAAGAAGAGGAAAGACAAAGTGGAAACACAGAACAGAAGTCAAAAAGCAAACAGCACCGAACTTCAAAGAGAGCACAGCAGAAGTAAGTATGTGTAACTCTAAATTGCATATATTTAGTTACTATATTACAAATCATAATTTGATGCTATCCACATTTGGGTCTTCCCCAAAGCAGAGCAGAATCTCCTGAGACTAGTGCAGTTGAATCCACACAATCTATACCACAGAAAGGACGAGGAAGACCATCAAAAACGCCATCACCATCACAACAAAAAAAAAATGTGTAAGTTGTAAATAATGTTAAATTTCAAAACAATTTCAAATTATTTTGCAGAAGTTTATAAATTTTTAAATATATATAGAGTTGCTTTTAATATATTTAGCACCAATACACTAGGTAAGCTAAAGTTTTTATGTACTTACCTAGGTGATTGATATTCCAATGAACCCTCTAGTAACTTTTGTATATTTTTACAGGTTTTAGGCAAATCTTTATGAATAGCAAATAGTTTATTGTTTCCAGTTCAGATTTTAAGGTACCTTATGAGGTGTTGGTATATTTTTAAATAATCATAGCATATTCACCTGGTTGCCTTATAATTCCACACTACAATTTTTCTTCCTATCTTTCCTCAGTGGCTTTTTTAAAAAAATAGCTTTTATGCTTTTGCTTTTATTCTTTGAACTATATAAGAAAGTAACAGGCATTATTTTTCTTAAATTACCACATGCAGATCTCAAGTTTTTGATGTTTTGATTTTGTTTGTTTTAATCAACTTAATATATCTATATCCACAGATAGTTTTGGATGGTCACATAGTCACATATTTATTTGAGAGTTACAATAACCGATTTGTATTCAAAATTTTCAAGTGGTAGAGTAGTTAATGCTGTAATTTTTAAATCTTGTACTTTTTCTTCTCAGTTATTTAAGTGGAAATAGAATGGCATGTCTTCTTTTAGTGAATAAATCCTCAGTTTTTCTTGGAGTAATTCTATTATATAACTACATCAATGGCTTGATTTTTCAGAGTTGCCACCAAACTTTGGTTAAATAGTTATCTTAGAAATTTTTCCTATTCCTGTGTATTCCACAGAAAGAGGAAAAGTTTCCTGAGTGTCTAGCCAGTTCTTTATGACTTCTTCCATTTAATTTTTTCCTCAGGTAAAAAGTAAAGGTAAGTACATGTTCTTGGTAGCTTCATTATATTTTGATTCAACCATGGAAAAACATTGGTATTAACAAAGAATTCTTAAATAATGTTAAATTCCCATTATTAATTTTATAACAAGGAAATGTGGCTCATAACTTTATTTATATTTGGGCTTAAATTATTATCGTGTTCTCTCATAAAACTACATAAGTTCTCACATGAATGTTCTAAAACAGACAAGTATTTATTTTTTAAAATCAATACAACCTGGTTGGCGTGGCTCAGTGGTTGAGCATTGACTTATGAACCAAGAGGTTATGGTTGGATTCCTGATCAGAGCACATGCCCAGTGGGCTCAGTGCTGTGTAGGGTGTGCAGAAGGCAACCAATCAATGATTCTGTCTCTTTCTCCCTCTCCTTTCCTCTCTGAAATCAATAAAAATATATTTTAAAAATAAAGAGTGTCAATTAAAAAAATAAAGAGTGTCAATTAAAAAAAAAAAATCAATACAACCCTGGTTGGTATATCTAAGTTGGTTGGAGTGTTACTCCATACATCGGAGGGTATCAGGCTCTATTCCTGGTCGGGAAATGTACCTGGGTTGTGGGTTTAATCCCCAGCCCTGGTTAGGGTGCATGTGAGAGACAATCAATCTGTTTTTCTCACATTGATGTTTTTCTTTTTCTCACTATCTCCCTTTGTTTCTCTCTGCCTCTTCCTTTCTCTCTAAAATTCAACGACCATATCCTCAGGTGAAGATTAAAAAAAAAAACTCAGTACAGACAGAGACTCTATTCTGTTTAACAGCCTATCTTCTTTTCTCTGGGAAGCTTTGTTTTTAGAGCTGTTAAAATAACATTACATTTGCCTGTTTTTCTTCTTACCTCTGGAATTAAGAACCATTGTATCATTTTCTGTGTAATCCCTGTATTTTCTTTTGTTAACTCTGAAAAACTAAATCAAGTTTAAAAAAAAAAAATACGTGGGGAGATCCAAGATGGAGGCAGGGTAGATGAAAGTTATACTTATCTCCTCCCAGGACCAAACTGGAATTACAATTAAATTACAGAATAATCATCCTAAATAACCTGCTGAAGAGAGGTCATAACCAAAGACTTAGAGATGAAGCCACTTCAATACAGTAGGAAGGACGGAGACACAAACAAGGCTGGCCCTGCTCCTATTATCTGACAGCTGAGGCTCCAGAAGCATATCTCAGCTGGTGGCGGAAGGGAGGGGTGAGTCCCTCTAAGGAAAGAGGGTTCTCAGCCACATGCCAAGCACCTCCGCTCAGAGCAACAGAACCAAGTAGAGGGGTCCACATAAAATGTGATTGTGAAAATCAGTGGGTATTCTGTCTCCCGGGGAGAGACGATTCTGCTAGAAATCCAGGCTCCCTTTTAAAGGGCCAGTCACTCACCCTTGGTTGTGGTAGAAGTAAGGCAGCTCAGAGATGACTGGCGAGTGAGTTGAGACTGAGTTTTATGGCTCCACATAAAGAGCTAAAGAGATACACTGTGCTCACTTCCTCTTTCACACAGCCCACAGATTGCATCTTTCTTTGGTGTAGCAATCACCTCCACATGGCATCAGCCTGGAGGAAAGCAAGTCCCCCAAACTCCTTTTCCCTGTCACCCCCGAGCTCATACCTGGAAGAGAAATCGTCTTCCTGGCCACTGGTGTCAGAGATGAGTTATCTGGCTCTTGGAGGAGGGCCGGTCCCTTATCTTCCCTCAAGCTTGACCAGTGCCCTCCCCTCATAGAAGATCTAATAGCCCACCCTCCCAACACGCAGGTTCTCCAACAGGTCCAGGCAGAATGTGGGACAGGCTTGAGTTATGTGGCTTTATGACAAGGGACATTTTTCCCTCTCATATCCAACCAGTGCAGAAACTTCCTTCACACAATAAAATCTTGGTCTGTTTGGGCCTGATGAATTCTGCTGGCCTCACCCTGACAACTCCCTGAGACCCTGCCCACCAAAAGGTCTGTATGTACTGGACAAGGGATAGCTAGACTCGGTATGCTTTAGGACATTTGCTGAGTGGCCTCAGACCCAGCACTGACTCCAGGTTTGAACCTGTATCAGTCTGGTGAACCCCACTCACTCCTATCTGGTCATTCACTAAGAATCTATCTCAATCAACTTGAGTATGGCCAGAGGTTCTTTTATTTACTGAGCCTAACAGGTGGGCAACTGTTGGGTCTTAGGGTGCCTTGGGCCTTTTCCTGCCCTGCCACCTTGTATGATGATGATTAAGCTGGCCTTGGTCCACACTATGCCCCCCACGATGTACTTCCAGGCCCAGAAGAGATAGCCACAAACTGCATAACATTGTAGTTCCAAACAGGTAGCCCAAGGCCAATCTAAGGCCATATCTGACATTGACCTGCGCCAGATTCCCTCCCAAGAGGCCTCAGAACCAACACACCTGCTGGTATGCTGCAGACTACATCAGATACAGGACCCAATCAGTGGCACATCCAAAGGAGGATCTCAGTGGGAACTAGACACTGCTGGGATGAATTCCATTTCATGTTGTCAGCACCCTCACAATAGCTCCCTGTGAGATCGGGCCTAAACCGGCAGTCAAACATACCTCTCACAATCCGGGACTGCTGGCTCCCAACTGCTTGCCTGCCTGCCAGCCTGATCGCCCCCTAACCACTCCTCTGCCATCCTGATTGATGCCTAACTGCTCCCCTGTCGGCCTGTTTGCCCCTAATTTCCCTCCTCTGCCAGCCTGGTCACCCCTAACTGCCCTCCCCTGCAAGCCTGGTCCCTCCCAATTCCCCTCCCCTGCTGGCCATCTTGTGTCCACATGGGGGCAGCAAGCTTGTGTGTTGGAGTGATTGTCAATCTGCATATGACTCTTTTATTAGATAGGATAGAGGCCTGGTACATGGGTGGGGGCCAGCTAGTTTGCCCTGAAGGGTGTCCCAGATCAGGTTGGGGGTTCCCTTGAGGTGTAGGGCAGCCTGAGAGAGGGGCCAGTGGTGGTTTGCAAGCTGGACACGCCCCCCAGCGACCCAAGTGGAGGCCCTGGTATCTGGGATTTATTTATCTTTTACAATTGAAACTTTGTAGCCTGGAGGGAAGACAAATCTTCTGCTCACTCAGTGGAGACAGCCATTTCTGATGCGATTTATTTATCTTCTATAATTGAAACTTTGTAGCCTTAGCAGAAGCCTAAGCCGGCCAGGGTGTGCTGAAAGCTTGGCTTCCTCCATTGCTGGGGAAACTCAAGCCTCCCTCCTGCTCTCCGCAGCCATCTTGGTTGGGTTAATTTGCATACTTACTCCTGATTGGCTGGTGACTGTGGCTTGTGGGTATTGTAGAGTGATGGTTAATTTGCATATTGCTCTTTTATTAGATGGGATAATTTTTTTCTGATATAGCTCATTGGCAAGGGAAACAAATGGGACTGCATAAAACTAAAAAAAAGGTTTTGCATAGCAAAGGAACCATCAACAAAATAAAAAGACAACCTAGTGAGTGAGAGTTATTTTTGCCAATAAGACATCTGATAAGGGGTTAATATCCAAAATGTAATAAAGAAGTTATAAAACTTAACATAAAAAAAAATAATCCAATTGAAAAAATGGTCAAAATACTTGAATAGACAGTTCTCTAAAGTAAACATACAGGTGGCCAGTGGACATGTGAAAATACGAACAATGTCACTAATCATTAGAGAAATATCACCTCACACCTGTCAGAATGGCTATTATCAGTAAGTCAACAAACAAGTGTTGGCAAGGATGTGGAGAAAAGGAAATCTTCATGCACTGCTGGTGGGAAAGCAGATTTGTGCAGCCACTATTGAAAACAGTATGAAGTGTACTCGGAAATTAAATGTGAAACTGTGTCCCGGGAATTCCACCTCTGGGGTTTTGTTCAAAGAAACCCAAAGCATCAATTCAAAAGAATGTATGCATCCATAAGTTCATTGTAGCATTATCATTATGTAGGATATGGAAGCAACCGAAACGTCTGTGAAAAGATGAGTGGGTAAAGAACATGTGATACAAATGCACAATGGAACATTACTCTGTTGTGAAAAAGAACAAAATCCTAAAGCATGAATGGACCTAAAAGATATAATTCAGAGAAATACTATTATGATTTCACTTATATGTGGAAACCAAAGAGCAAACGAAAAAAGGTGAAACATTCATAGACACAGATTTTCAGGGTGGGAGGAGTGGGAGGTGTGGAAAGGTTGAAGAGATTAAGAAGTACAAATTGGTAGTTTCAGAACTGTCACAGATGTAAAGAATAGCATAGGGAATGTAGTCAATAATGTATTAGGGGGGAAATTTTGTAAAGTATAGGGTTGTCTAATCACTATGCTTTACACCTGAAACCAACATAAAATACTGAAGTTAAATTGGAATGGAAAAATTTTAAAAATAAATAAAATATTTTAAAATGCTTGGTTTTAGCATGGATTGAACAATATGTCTTTTGGTGGTTTTTGTTTTTTGTTTTTAATTTATTGATTTTAGAGAGAGAGAAAGGGAGGGGAGAGAGGGAAACATTGATTTATTGTTCCACTTACACATTCATTGGTGATTATTATATGTGGCCTGTCTGGGATGGAACCCATAACCTTGGTGTTTTGGGAGGATTCTCTTAACCAACTGAGCTGCCCAACCAGGGCTGAACAATATGTCTTTTGGATTGCTTATAGAAGTGGTAACATAATATTCTTTTAAAAAATAAATATTTGTCAATAGGGATACATTTTATTAAATGGGATCACATATTTATTGCTTTGTATGTTTTAGAGAATACTAATTGCTAGGCAATCTAGTAGCACAAAACACCTGATTCTTTTTTTTTTTTTTTAATATATTTTATTGATTTTGTACAGATAGGAAGGGAGAGAGATAGAGAGTTAGAAACATCGATGAGAGAGAGTTATCGATCAGCTGCCTCCTGCACCCCCCCTACTGGGGATATGCCCGCAACCAAGGCACATGCCCTTGACCGGAATCGAACCCGGGACCCCTCAGTCCCCAAGCCGACGCTCTATCCATTGAGCCAAACCGGTCTCGGCACAAAACACCTGATTCTTGTCCTCCTGCAACTTAACCATCTATATGGGCATGTAGTTGTAAAATAGTCGCATTTAAATGTGAATTCTAATTTTTTATATGTGCCCTCATGAAAAACTTAGGCTGCTATAAGAATGTAATGGGAGAGCTGGGAAATCAGGAGTTTTCTCTTGAGAAAGTATAAAGTTGGTTCCTTGAGAATAGTAGTAATTAGACTGATAGAGTTCAGGGAAAAGAACATTTTAGGTAGCAGGATCACTGTATTTGAAGTTTATGAAGTGAGGGAAATATTGTCAGAATTGAAAGATGGCAAGAGTTTGCTGGGTTGTAGTTGTGGGGAATTGGGGAGTGGAAGGAGATTTGAAAGAAGAGAGGTAGGCAAGGATTGTCTGCAAGACCTTAGTACTGTGTTAAGAGGTAGCTATGGGAGGGATGGCGGGGGGGTTTGACATGTTCTGTGTTTACCTTTTTTAAAGATTACTTTGTTGGTGCCGAGGCCAGTTTGGCTCAGTGGATAGAGCATTGGTCTGTGGACTGAAGGGTAGGGTCCCAGGTTCGATTCCGGTCAGGGGCATGTGCATTGGTTGTGGGCACATCCCCGGTGGGGGGTGTGCAGGAGGCAGCTGGTCGGTTTCTCTCTCATCGATGTTTCTAACTCATCAATGTTTCTAACTCTCTCTCTCTCCCTTCCTCTCTGTAAAAAATCAATAAAATGTATATTTTTTTAAAAAAGATTACTTTGTTGGTTAAAATTCCGTACTAGTCGGGGATTTGTTATTGGAATCAGGGTCTTCTACTGAGACAGGCTAGTAAGCCAGGACTAGGGAAACTGAGAAAAATAGTTACACAGCAATTTGCACCATCTAATATATTCTGTCTTCTCTAAACCTCGAACACTTAAGAGTAGATGGTTTCGCCCTGGCCAGTGTTGTTCAAGTTAGAGTTTAGACTCCAGTACCTAAGAGTCTGTTTCAATTCTGGGTCAAGGGCACATACCTAGGTTGCAGGTTCAATTCCCAGCACAACTGCAGGCAACCGATCATATTGATGTTTTTCTCTTTCCCCCTTTCTTTCTCTTTCTCCCCTCCCTCCTTCCCTTGCACTCTCTAAAAATCAATAGAAAAAAATATCCTTGAGTGAGAATTAACAACAACAAAAAAGGCTAAATGCTTTACACTTTTCTCCAACCAGAGGGTAAAATAGCTTAAATCTCCCTACTAGAAGATAGATAGCAGAAATCCAGTTATAGCCATTTTCGGATCATACCCAAGGATAGGTAAAGTTAAAAGAATAAATCTCATTTTAGTGCATCTCCCTAAAAAAAAAAAAAGATTACTTTGGTAAGAATCAAGAGACGAGAATGTTTTAGAAATAATGCAGTAGCATTAGAGGTGGATGGATTAGTGAATGGATTTGAGATTTCCTTATAAATCAAATCTTCAGGGCCAGATAGAGTTATATACTATTAAGGAAGACTGGATTTTCTGCTTTGAGCAGCTAAGTAGATATAAATGCCTTTTACTATTTAGGAAAGATTTTAAAAACAGAGTCTGCATTATATTTTTTCATTCCTTTATGGTATTGTCCTCAGTCACACTTATTTTTTGTTACTTGGTAGATATTTGTATGGAAAATGCTAGATTAAACACTGTTTTAGGGTTCATGATATAAGAAAAATATTTCTACCCTGGCCAGTTATTTGGACATTGTCCAGTGCACCAAAAAGTTGCCAGTTTGATTCCTGGTAGGGCACATATCCAGGTTGTGGCTCAATCCCCAGTAGGTGTGCAGTAGGCAGCCTGATCAATGTTTCCCTCTCACATCATTGTTTCTCTCTAAAGGTCAGAAAAAATAATTAAAAAAAAAAAATTTCTTCTTATAAGGATATTGAGGATAAAAATGAAAATCTGAGGATTTATGAAATATTTAAAGCATTCCCTCTACTGAGATGTAATTCTACTCAAAAGATCAGCATGTTCATTGTATCTTACATGTATTTTACTCTAGACGCACAGGACGCTCCAAACAAGCAGCCACTAAAGAAAATGATTCAAGTGAAGAAATAGATGTGTTTCAGGGTTGCTCTCCCGTCAATGATGATATTCCACAGGAAGAAACAGAAGAAGAAGAAGTTTCTACAGTAAATGTATGTTTTTATTAAAATGCCATGTGTAATAGTGATAACAGGAAAGGTGAGCCGAGGATTTTTCCTGGGGCTATGTCTCGTGATGCTGAAGATTGAGCTCTGCGGACCAGCAGATTTAAGCAAAAGTGTGGAAATTTTATTACAGGCAGATTCAGACTCCCTTCATGGAGAGGGGGACTCTAATAATGGGCTGCCCCCGTAAAGCCTTGTAGTCCAGGAGTATATATTTGCTACAAGTCTGCTCCATATCTACCTGTGTCTTCACCTGATTGATTTCCTCAGTTGTTCTTGCCCAGCAATGATGGACCTGAACTTTCCCTGTTTCTATGTTCTTTCTCTGTCTCCATGCTGAACTTTCTCTGTTCCTATGCTTAACTTTCTCTGTTTCTATGTGTTCATACACCTTGTTGCTGCAGGCCCTCACTTGTTTTCCCATGCCTCTCTGGCTTTGAGTCCAGAAACATTTTATTATTTCTGCTTTGATAGTTTCTGTTATTGGGCTGGCTCATACTACCATGTCTACCCCTGCCTATGTTCCACCTGCCATTGTTTTCCACTATATCCCTGCCCTATCTGCCTGTGTTTCAAGTTAGCCTTCTCAGTAGTACGGAATATAGAAATAGGGTTGGTAAATATTTGGTCATATCTTTTTAGCATTTGATGTTTCTTATAATTCTAAATATATATTTTTTCTTCATTACTTTATAGCATTCTTTCATCTACCAGCTTGTATAATGCAGAAGACAATCTTTTATGGAAATCTAAAACTAAGTGAGAATAATGAATGTAGCTTAGTGCAAGTGCAAATGTCAAGTTTAAACTGATGTGGAAAAAACAAGTACCAGTATGATACTGACACTTCAGGCATTTTATACCTTGATTTTAGATATCTGATAAATATACTATTATTTATGTTTCATTACTTTTTGTTTAAATTTCAAAGTAAAAACTAGAAATTAGTCAATCATATAGAATAAAGCCTTTGGAATTCATAACGTTGGTAATCGACACTTTTTTTTTTTTTTTACAAAAGTAGAAATGTGGAACTTCCTGAGGTCCTTTTTTTATTTTTTAAGTAATGAATTGTTTTGCCAGTTAACTCATCTTAGATATTTTACTGTGGAAGAAAAATAAACATTTAAGTAAGAGCTGTTCTCTTAATAATGCTAACCTGAATCTTTGAATCAGCTCAGCCAGCCTTCTTATTTGAAAAATCAGTGTACTGTGATCAAGTCCCAGAGTTGATCCCCACTTCTGTAACCTATTTAAAATATAATTAGCTCTCCAATCGGCAGCAGAATTTATTTATGTGAATGGATTAACACTGCAGAAAAATATTCTGAATTGTGGTCTCAAGCTAGCTGAGCTTGGTTCTTAACAGTTTTGGGGAGATGTAAAAATAAGGTGTGAATTATTTTTCATCAAAGAAAAACTATACTGTGAATTAAATTAAAATACTATCCTTTTTATATTTCTCTTGTTTGAACTAAAGTTTTATGCTTTCAGTACCTATTGCCAGTTAATGGGAATATGTCTGAATTTTAGCTTACTTATATATATTTGATAGTTGTTAGGATCTAAACTCAGTAACTATTTTCCCAAAACAACAGCTATAAGCATAAGTTCATAAGTATCAAATTTTGTCTTATTACAGAAATATAAGTAAAAAAGTGACATTTATAATTGATTTTCTTGCTATCTATATTGACTTCTGGTCATTTGTTTTTAAAATTATGAAATAGAAAAGGAATGATTTTTCTCTTGCTATTCTGGGTAAAGCTATTTATGAACATTCAGATTTATATAAGTCTAAATAAGTGATGCCAAGGCAGCAATTTAAAATAGGAGAAAGGTTTCAATGAGAGAAAAGCAAAGAAAATCAGGACCAAGTAAGAATAATGATTGGTTAAAAATTATTATTATTGCTATCTCTAATAAATGTGTACTCATTTTAATTAAGCATCTGATTATTTTTCTTTTAAGGTACGGCGGAGAAGTTCTAAAAGAGAAAGGCGATGAACAAATGTAATTAATAATTTCTATGTGAACACTCAAAAAATCATTTTTCATCAAGCTTGAGGCTGAATAAAACCTTTGATGCACAAAATGGGACTGCTGAAGAATGGACAGTTGGACCTCACTTTGATGACCTCATATATTTGTGGTCACATTTTAGCCATATGCATGGTGATAACATTGACTTGTGAAAGTGTAATTTGCTATGGCTATGTAGAAATAAACTAAAGAAGAAACTTGTAAATATATTTTTCCTTTTTTTTTTTTTTTTTTTTTTTTTTAATGTTTCTGACTTCTAGTGTGCTTGTATAGCTTTTATCTGTGGCTTTAAACTGACAGTACCTAACTGTTTATTGGATCTATTGCTTTGAAAAGAGTTTGTTAGTATAGATCTTAAGCAGTCATCTGTCAGTGTTTGTATTTGTATAATCTGCAGTTTTACTGTGAAAAATTTATTTTTCAGCAAATGGTGTCATTTTCTTGATGTCACTGTTGGTTGGAGAGATAAATGGTCTCTTTCCCTTGTGTATCTTACCTAGTGTTTACTCCTTGGCACCCTTAACCTTCAGAGGTGCTAAATCATCTGCTATTATACCTGAACGATGCCTCTGATGGGAGGAAACCACATAAATTGTGAAATACTCCTGAAGTTTATTATTTTACACCTCAGTATTGGTCCCAGAATTTTCTAGCCTCCTATGGCAATGAAAATTTTAAGAAAAGATTTAAAATATTTTAATTTTAAAGAATGTGTTATAAAATAATGTACTGAAATCTTTATCCCATTTTATCATTCCTTTTCAGTTCATATAATCTACTGTATCAATAAAATTCTGTAATTTGAATTAGTTTTTAATAGTCTAGAATGTTATTGTGTATAGATATTTCCTCTTGAACACGTTTGGAAAATGCAAATTAATACACTATACTATAAAATCTGATATATACAAATTAGGAAAGTTTCAGTTCTTCATAACAATGTAAAGGTAATCAGAAAAAAAATTTATTGATGCAATGTGTCTTTATAAGGCTGTTCTTGAAAACAAGTGTTTTGTATTTTATAGTGAGTTGCATGTTTATGAAAAAATGCTAAAAATGGAATGTGCTCTTTTCTGTAAATTCATAGTTAGTCATAGTATATAATAGATTGCCCCATAACATAGTTTCAGTAAGAGTTTATTATTGTTTTTTATTTTGGAGCCAAAAACATTGTTTTGGGAGGAAGGACAAAGTGGGAGTGATATATCAAACTACATGAGCTACTGTAGTAGGTATTATAGTCTTACGAACTTTTTAAATGCAATTCCACTTTGTCCTGATCAGGAAAAGTGGAAATTTACTTGGATTTAGAGATGGTCTTTTCTTTATTGTAAGTTGCAAAATTATAAAAACAAATTACATAAGGCAGTATACTTTTACAGTTTTATAAACTGTATTTTGAACCAAACTTAGAGGTTGTTACTTTATGTGTAGCCAAATTCATTTAGTATTTCAGGTGCTGTCCTTTTTTTTTTTTTTTTTCATGGTTAACATCAGAAAGAAAATCATATTCTAAGTTGTTAAATTTATCACATTGAATAATGGAGCATTTTCATGTAATACACTATTATGTTTATGGTATGTTTCCAAGATTGGTGATTATAGACAAGGGATATAATAAAGAAACTATTTTGGAAAATGACATTTTACTATTTTCCAATGCATATCACAATTAATGTGATTATTATTTTTTTAGAGATTTCTTCAGTTAATGAAACTGCCTTTTATTTAAAAAATGTTTTTATTTGTGTCTTTTCTCTCAATATTTAGCTCTTCTTTATTTACAATAGAACTGACACCAGTGATCATGGGTGGCTGCTATATATCAAAGCAGCTAATGTTGGACCAAGATACATTGGTTTTTAAACATTTCTTTAGCTCAGTTCTCCCAAACACGCTATTTCTATTCCAGCAGTACAAAGGCATGGTTATAAATCTATAAAATAAGAATAAGGGATAGCTTTGTATTTTTGTCATTGACTAAATTGCACCAGGAATGTTTATGGAAGTATATCTTTAAGACCATTTTATAAAACAACAACAAAAAATAATTGTGGAGGAATTTTATTTGCATGATCATAGTTAAGCAGATTTCATTGTATATTAATTCTGTACATTAGATCACAAAAATGTTCATTGTAGATTCTGTTTAATGCCAATGACTCTATGATTTTCTTACACATCTATTCCTTTTTGGGAAAATTATGATGTATATTTTCCATTTTTCTGTAGAAAAATAGGTTCAATAATTATCAAAATTTTGTCCTGTGTCTTCATCTTAAGGGATTATCTTATTATGTTTAAACTTAACATTTCATGTACTAACATTTGGAGAGCCACATACCATAAGTAAAGTAAAAAGTATAAAATACTAAATGCTAACAGTGGTTAGCAAACTCTTCAGTGATAATGTTCATTTTGAAATATATACTGTAAGAAATTGAGAAAACATTTAACTCACTGTAACATGTTCCATTATTAAAATCTTGTAATTTTTCAGTGAGATTATCTTGCTGCTCTCTATGGCAAATCCATTTAATCTACATTATAATAAAATTTTTTGCTGCAGTGCAACAAGAAGCTTTTTCAGTGATCTCCACTGTATATGTAAATTACAAATGTGGCTATAAAACTTGTTCCAGGTATTATAGGTTAAATTACATTCTGTATCATCTTACAACTTATAAGTATAATTTTTAAGATTTCCTTTTTGCCCACTTGAAAAATGTCAGCAATTTAAGAATTTGTTTAACTTAGGTATATCTCCCTTACCATATAGTATTATGTCACCATAATGAACAATTGGTATTTAGATAACCAACTTTCAGACACATTATTGGATTTTCTGTGAAGTTGAATAAACATGAAAGCTCTATATAATTGTATTATTTTATTTATGTGAACCTATGCACCTATATATATGTTTACTTAATGGAAAAAGGCAAATTTCTATGATTTTTAATTTTGGAGCCTTTGTTTTATAAGAGAAAATAATATTTCCCACTAACATTTTTTCAAACTTTTTATTTAAACTTCTCATGCATTATCTTGGCTGACAGATTTACTAGATACTCTTTAAGTGAAAGGATTGCATAACTGAAGAAAATAAATGTATAATATAAACTTTAAAAGTAAGAACTAAGAAAAATTATTAAGGACAGTTTTATTAATTTACTCAGCAAATAATTATTGAGTGTCTACTATGTGCTGGGCTAGTAGTGGAGAATAAAGTTTGATCAAGGTAGATTAAGCCAGGGATAGTGGGAGAAAAAGGAAACAATAATTTTCCTAATATATAAAAATCCAGGGTCTGTAACATCCAAAACAATTGAAGGCTCAACCAACACCAGGCTAGGGAGCTGAGGGGGTGTGGCTGGCCTTCAGACCTTGGGTGGCCCCTAGCCCAGAGAGGCCTCCTAGCCTGGGACGCTGGAGTCTGTTCTGGACCTAGGGTCGCGCTTTCCCCATGAGTGACTCGGAAGCCGCCAGTGTCTAACTGGCCAGGTCTCTGGAAGGTTGGAGTGCGTCCACCACCCACCGAAAAGTGACCATCGAACTGTTCACAGATTCAGTGCAGCCACCGGTCAGTGGTAGACGGGGTGGAGGTCAGATCAAAACAAACCACTGGAACACCCTGCCCACAGCGAGTGCAGCTGCAGTCCACAGGGGCCTGGACAGTGTAGAAAGTAATACTTTCTCCTGAGTTCTGTGCTGGCAATGCTGCCTCGCTCACCCTCAAGCCCCCTGAGTCCTGACAGTGAAGTGTGTGGAGCATCCTGCAGGATTGTGCTGTTCTGGGTGCTTTTGCCCAAAGACACCCTTTGGGATGAATTCAGAGCCACATCTCACTTCCCATAGACTGGAAGAACCATGTAAAAGGAATTTGACAAAAGCTTTCCCCATATCTGTTTATTCTTTTGAATCCATAAATCGACCTTAAAAAGATTCAGACCATCTAAGAGAGAATGTACTTTCTGGCAAGAGCATGCAGGATTTTTTTTGCTCAACAGGTTAAAGGAAGCAGAGAGCTGGCATAGTAGAAATGGCCCTGGTGCCCTAAGAGGAGACTGCAGGAATGTGGCTGTAGAAATTCCACAAGTCTCTTGCCACCTTCTCCTTTGCAAACCACACCATCCAGATCCACCAGAACTGGAGGCAACGGAGTCGCAGCCATGGTTTGGGACACAGTAAGCAAATCCTGGGGCCCCTCTGAAAATATCTGCAATTGATTATAAGACTGGTTTTTATTTAAAAAGAAATAGAACAGCTTTGTTGAGATGTAGACTGTATGTATCAACTAAAGTGTACAATGAATTTTTTTAAAATTATTATCTTTAATATATGTATTAAAAACATTATCTTTGTACATATACCATTCCCCCCCCCCCCAACTGCTTTTTTAAAATTTTCCGAGTGGTACAACCATCACCATGCTCAATTTTTAAATATTTTCATGACCTTATCCCCTCCAAAAACCTTCTACTCACTAGAAACACTTTCCTACTCATCTTCCCCCAAATAGATTGCATTTTAAGGTTGGGTAAAGGAAAGTTGAGGGAAGTTAAAATACTGCACAAAGGATACTGTAAAATGACAAAGCCCAAAGTGAAGATCATGTGTTTTCTCAAATTCTGCTTGGTTGTAATGGTACCCAAATCTTCTATACTAATAAAAGGGTAATATGCTAATGAGAGTGGACATCTTCTGGACATCCTTCTAGACAAAGCTGCAGCAGCTGTGAAGGCCGAGGCTCAGGCAGCCATGAGCCGCTGTAAAGGGCTGAGGCTCAGCTCTGCAGTGGCAGCAGCAACAGGGTAATAGGGCAGTGCCTTCCTCTGATCTAGTGGTGATCAGGCCAGCAGGGGGGCAAGGTAGGGACGATCAGACTGGCAGACAGAGTAGGGTTAGGGTAATCAGGCAGGCAGGTGAGCGGTTAGGAGCCAGTGGTCCTGGATTGCAAGAGG